AGTGCTTTGCATAAAAAGTCCGGAAACTGCGTTTCGCGCGTCTCTGTTTGTCCCAGCCAAACAATACCTTATAGGGTAACACCTGACCGAGGGCGCGACGGTCCTCGAGTCAGCCTATATCACTCCTGGGACACCAATGCCCGTCTCAAGGCTGAATAACGTTCATACCTGTATCTCTTCAGGATATCGAGCACGCAGAGGTCAAAATACCCCAAGAACGACCCTCATACATGGATGTCGAAGCGTCCCGCCAACCAGTCAACAGCCCGCGCTACCGTGATCAACTACCCCATATAGGTTTGTTTGGCTGGCACAAACAACATTTCGCGAATCGCGGTTTCCGGACTTTTATGCAAAGCACTGTAAATAAAAACACAGATCTTAATTTGAGTGCCGAAGCCACGGGTGCCCGTGCACCAAGGGTCAATTCATCATTTGCGAAAGGGTCGATATTGAATCTTTATTCAAATTTCCAGCGTCCGAATCCGAGTTCGTAGACTGGATACCGTATTCCTCTACCATCTCCCTATGGCAACGCCAGCCATCTGGCCAACAATTGAGGGAAGTTCGGAGTGCCGAGACCAGTGACAGGGTCCCACCCAGGGGTCGCATTAAAACCGTTGGTTCCGCACCCCGGATTGCTGCCAGTGGTGATATCATGGAACGCGCCCGCAAACGCGGGGGAATATATCTGTGTAACAGTAACCAGAAGTGATGAGACGCAGTGAAGCTAGGTATATAATCTCAGACGTACGGTAGGATTAATGAAGCCTATCGGGCTCTTGCCTATCGCGAGGCGGGCATCATTGACTAACGTCAAGATGGAGCCGGTGACGGGGGACGAAGCGGAGGTCCCGTAGACGAGCTCAAACTCTCCGTCGACGGCGACAACATAGTTGGCACTGTGGGCAAAGCTCGGATGAGTATCCAGAAGATAATAAATCAAGCTACCGACCCATTTGCAGCAACGTCAGGGAACCCTCTTGCCTACATGGCAGTATCGAGAGGTCAGCAAAGTTGATATTCTAACTCGTCCTTCGGCATACCTTCCCCGTTGCATTGTACTGGCTTGCAGAATAGGCCGGTGGGTAGGCCGTAAGGTAGTGCTCAACTGCAGCGGCTTGATACGAGGGCAACGCGAAATAGTTGCTAAATCCGCCTCCACTGTAGATCACCTGCATGCATGCGCTCTCTGGTTCAGTGACGCTAGCGCCTGGATTTACTTGAGTGGCGCCGACCGACGTGACATATGGGCAAACGCCGGGGAATGTGGGATTGAACCTGGTACCGCCGTAGACTTCGTTACCTGCATCCGAGGTCTCGTATCAGCATATTTTGCATCCGGGCAGCAAGTCTCGTTATCTTACCATTAGCGTCCAGACATACGTTGCCGTTTCCAGCGACTCCGTCATCACCGGAGCTGTATAGCACGGTTGTACCCATAAGACCAAGTTTGGCATATTCAGCACATTGCCTTGCTGCGTATGCTGGGGAAAGTTCTGCTTCGTTGTACCCATAAGATGTGGAAATGACGTGGGCGGGGGCGGCGGTGCCACAATCTTCAGGACCTGTGTTGGCGTGCGACCGTCGGACTTCGGGAAACAAGTTCATGTAATTAGACATACCTTCATAACCCCCACCATAAGGATCAGGGTACGTCGAATCATAGTAGGGATCGTCTCCGCCTTCAAACGTACAGTATGACCCGTCAATCGCATCGAGGAAATTGTTGAAGGAAGCGCCTGCCCAGCAAGAAATCAGCTGAGGGAACACGGAATTGATGGATAAGGCTACCTTCGACCATGTCACCTGTCTGGTATAGTGTGACAGGCAGGGGGTCGACGAGGGACATCCCGTATTGCAAATCCAAGTCACTCTCGCCATTGTAACCGAAACCTGTGTACTCAGTTTGCGCGTAACCTGTACCGAGATTCTCGTTTATTTCCTCTCTTCGGATTTACACTCGCAGATTGCTTACCTCCGTCGACGGACACCATAGCGGGAGACTTTCCAACCAGATTTGGTGAGAAATTGCCGAAGAACATGTTAAGATCGGTTTGGAGATATGCTTGCGGAGTGTATTCAACTAGGTCGCCATCATTCTCGAAATTCAATCCCGGACAGACAGCACCCTACCTATCCCGTAGCTGTTCCTGTCCGTCGCGACAGGTACGTAGACAATCCCATACAGCGCCCTGAGGCAGATCAACGTTATTTGCTGATCGCACGCCTCCAGCTCGTTGATGATGCTGCCTATCGTCCCGGTGGTCTTCGGCTTCAGCCCGACACCAGGTTGGCCTATGTTGCTGAGGGTGCCCCCAGACCCAGATGAATTGTTGTCCCGTTTGATCACAGCATCGAAATGGATTGAGGGCAGAATGAAGTCGACGTGTTTGCTGACGTGTTCCGGTAACTTGTAACTGTCGCAAGCTGAATGTCAAACAATGAGACTAGTGTATATTGAGATTCTGCTAAAGATATCCGTCTTACCGACGTGCTCCTTGCCTGTGGTATGCGAGTATACGTGGTATTCTGTGTTCAAGAGGCGCTCGGCTTCCTCCACAGTGGCATTGAGCTCGATCCACGTCCTAGCACCTGATAGCTTGACCCTCGAGGCCTCGATACCAGAACCGGTAAGCCAGTCTCGCACAGTATCCACAGTTTCCCTACTGGGAGCGAACGTCTGCGAGACCTTGCCGGCCGACCAGTGTTTTCCGTAGTTTGCCGACTCCGGCCCAGAGACGTCGAGCAAGAGTTTCTCTAGCTTGTCCATGTTGCTCTGGACCAGACCGATGCGCAACGGTAGGACCGCGACAGGGTCATGTCGATGAGTGTGCGACCACCCTGCAGGAATATGGGACCGTTTCTCGTGCGTTATCAGCGGTGAGATGCGAGGCTCGGCAGACGCCAAAGACAGGAGCGCGAGCGACACAAGTGGGAGAAACAGCATCGCTGTGACGGTTCACTCTGGGGGCGACCTAATGTTCTGGTTAGCAAATTGAGGTCAGCTTTATACGGATTGTTGCCAAGAGGGAAATACTACTGGATGGGCCGCGTTTAAATTTAGACCCTAATGTCCCTGAAGATCCATAGTACGGGGTGGACAGACCTCCTTTCGCGTCCTCTAGTCCAGAGCAGAGCCATAATTGCGCGTAGACGGCAGACTATCGGTCTTCTTCTAAGGCATGAGAGAACATGTTATCTCCTGGAGCTAGGGCCTCGAGCACATGGAGGTGCTTCGGCGGGAACAAAGAGGACGAAAGGATTCAAAGCCAGGAGCAAGAAGGTAACTTCACTGAGAACCATATCCTTTGAGGCAGGGTTCTACCAAGGAGAGTAAGATAGCCCTGATATATTCCCGGCCAAGGATGCCCTTCATGGCTGTTCGAGTCGTAATTGAATCCAGAACATCACCGTCTTCATCAGCGAGAACTATTGCGTTGTTCAGCTTCGTATCCGGTGCTCCTGGTACGCGTGCTGTCAGGATATAGATAGCCACTCTTGCTTCGAAACTCAGAGATGCAGACCCTTCCGATTTATCTGCTCACACGAGATAAGATGACGGGTCCTCAGTCTTGATCCAAATTACGGGATGTACTGCCACGCCTATGTATGGCACCTGGGATAGTGCACCAAGGGGCTCTGATGAGGGGCGACGAAGCGGCGGGACGTCCCCACATCGATCCTAGGTCCATAAACGCTTCTGTGATGTGCTGGCAGTGAAGAGTTCGTCTTAACAGTTCAGACGTCCCGTAAGAAAGCGGGAGGAACAACAACACAATGTGGCAGATATGACGCGAAAGACTCGATCGTAAGTCACTAGTCCCTCCGTATGAATCTGCGTTCCACGGTTCAATAGCCTTGCACGGGAATAGCGGAGGCAATGTAGACAAAGGTACAAGCGCTAGGCTGTAGGTGCCGATCTATACTGTTCTGAGACAGCGCGCCTACTTACCTGGCCCAACTAGAGTCATGCCGTGACCAGGCGTTTTGGTTGATGTCAATGGAGTCCCCTACCGGTGAGGACGTCGAAGCCTTGCCAGCCGTTCAACCACCTGAAACAAGTCTGGACGAGAAGTCACTTGAGGAAGTGCAACTTGAGGTTTATACTACACCTCAAGGACCCATAGCTAGTCGCCTTGCCCGAAGTGCGTCTGATCCATCCACAAGGGGCATGCATAACAATGTTTGTCCCAGTCGTATGCCTGTTGGCCACGGGGGCACCCTCCGTTGAGAGGATTGCGGAACACACGGTCGAGGACAGCCAGCAATGGAAGGAATTCAAGAAGAGCCTGTTCGACCGCATTGCGAACGTGAATGTCGTTTCTTCTCTAATCCTTGCGTAAGTGATTCTACACCAGCAGAAAGCTTGCTCTGATATCGGCGTTCGTATTCCAGAACGACAGCCGCGTTTATTACTACCAGTCCTCCGACGCAAATCGGCCGATGGGACCATCCGATGCCCTACGTGACTCTTCTGGGGGCGTTCTGTCTGGGATATATTGGCGCTGGGAGCGGCGTCTTCTTGCTGTTCGTGCTTGCCGATGTGCAAGGGGGCTCTCTAAGGGTGCGTTTTTCAGTATGATTACCCTGCTGCGACTGGGAGACGCTATACACTGTTCTTCTCGGGCAGGATCTAATGAAGTCTCCAAGGAAGTTCTGGCTCGCGATGTTGCTCCTAGCGACTCCGGTGCTCTTCGTGGGTATGGCGGGCGGTACAGCGTTGATTGCGTTAATGGGTGCCATCTGGCTAGGTGAGAGTATAGCAGCTAAGGTTGTGCTGACTACTACCGTGGTCTTGACTGCTTCCGTAGTCTCATCTTTTGTCCTTGTTGTATCCTAGTTGTGTAATTCCAGTCTTGTTAGCAACTTGTTAGAGCTTGTTTCGTCAGGCCGCTGCAGTGCCTCTGTAGCGGCAGCACTGAGCAGTGTGGCACTGAAATCGGAAGAGACTGAGCAAGTCCTGCGAAAAGCCGAAGCGTGAGAAAACCACGTGCTCACAATGGCCGCCACAACGCGTCTTGAACGCGCTCTGCTCGTCGCCTGCGACGTCGACGGCGCTTACGAGGATGAACGCGTCGACGAGCCAGACGCGCACACTAACGCCTCTTCGTGCTAGATCGTCACTTCTTACGTCTCGCGCAGCTTCGACCATCCCGCTAGCTTCGGAATCGTATGAACCCCTGGTCAAGTCCGTTCTGAGCCGCCGTCTCTTGCGCATTTTCCTCTTCTCGGGTGCATTCTGCTGGGCCTCTGCTTTTCTTTGGAATGCGTGGAATGGAGGAGCCTTTAATCCATTATCTTTATCAACGCTCTTGCTGTCGTGTGCTTTCTGGGTGGTAGGGGCCTTACCTGCCACAGTTCTCCGAAAGACATACCTTACCGCCACACCTACCGCGTCTTCTTCTCCTTCAAAAATAGTCAAGGCAGCCTTGACAAGGCGGAGTACATATGCAGCAGCAGCATGCTATGTGTTATCTGCGGCAGCCTTTACCGTGTTACATGTTCTGCTCACGAAGGGAGAACCGAAGCTTTCGCTATTTGTGAAATCCCGGTACGTTGGTCCACCTTTGTCTGCTTCAAGGGAGAAATTTATTAGGAGACGCAAAGGAAGCATCCATACTATCTTAATGGTCGATTCCTCTTCCTAGCTCTATCCCAGTTCACCTGCGCCAGTGCTTTTTTGCTGCGCCACGTTATGATAGACAGGTTCGTCGTGAGATGGCCTCCGGTGACCATAAAAGTGAGACTGTTCCGTCATTTAGCAGTGACAGTATCCTGACGACTCCCCGATAGCCGGCCACGGAAATGGAACCCAGGCCCACCTCCGTTAACAAACCCAGGATAGCACTCACCGTTGTAATCTTGACCCTCCTCTGCATCTTTGCATCAGCCGCTGTGTTTGGTCTCACTCGAATCTTGCTGTTGCCTGTTCTTTTCCGGCTCCCGCTAGTACACCTGCTCCTCCGACCGTTTGCCACCCACTTCCTCCGGGGGCCATGGACAATCTCTCTGCCATGGCGCCATCTAGGCTTATTGTTCAGGACCTTTTTCCTAGGCGCAACGATGGTAGCAACCTGGGAAGTGTCCGATGGCTTGTTCGATCTATACATTGCCGAGGCGAGTTGCATTCCATACTGTCAGGTTCGATTGCTCATTTTGCCGTGCTAGCCCGTTTCGGTGTCCGCAAACACAGCAGACCCCATTTTAACCCTAGTTTCCGGAGCACAGTCGGCATCAGCGTACTACCAATACTTTGCGTACTTGGAGCTGCGCGATCTGGTCAGGGAAGACAGTGCAGCTGCCAGCGCGCGTCGCCAGGCGCTGTTCGCGGACCAAAAATACAACCCACCCATGTGGACGTCGTTCTCGCGAGCGTCCCTGGTACAGCTCGGGAAGGAATATCAGCACTTCCTCCGCAGAGGGGCACCCGTTCCAGGTATGTACTGCCCGTATAAAAACGAAGTCGAGTTGACAAGTATCATCAGCCCCAGCTGCCCCTGCCCCTGCAGCGGCACCACCTCCCAAGAAGGCCGACCCTACGCCGCCCACGCCGCTCATCCGCAAGCCGATATTGAAAGCCCCGCCGCAGACCCCCGTGCGCGCCGTCATCGACTCGTTCGCGTCGGACGGCACAATCTCGCAGGCTATCGCGAGCACCGCGGAAGTCGGCGCCGCGCACATACCGGAGCTGTTCCGTTCCGTCTCCACCGTCGCGCCCGTAAGCACGGAGGTGGTGGTCAAAGAGGTCAAGGAGGTTGCGAGCGCCATTGACAAGGTCAAGTTTGACGTCAAGTCACTGCCGATGGAGGTGCTGAAGGCTGCGAAGGGCAGGATGGGAACGGATGGGGTAGTGGGCCGGTATACTGAGCTAGTGTATCAGAGGTACGTGAAGGAGCAGAGCGGGAAGGTGAAGGAATGGTGGGAGGCGGAGCGGTTGGCCAAGGCAGCAGAAGGATACTTGCCGAACCGCGAGTTGGACATACTTATCATCAACGGTAGGTGTCTCCTCTTGGTCGCAAACTTGAGTGAGTCCCGGCGTTCGTACTCATGTTCTCACAGTCCTTACGGCCCTCGCCTGCGCATCTCTCACCGAGGACCGGTATGGCGTCGTCCAGAAAGACCTACCTCGTATCATTGAGGCGTTCATAACATTTTCTCACGCTATCGAAGAATTTCATCGAGAGTTAACCGCGAAGTACCCCCCGCCGATGGAGGAAGAATTGGAAGAGATGGCCCCTGAGGAGCTTGAGGCGCGGAACCGAATAGGGATAGATGTGGAGGGGGCTATTGCAACATCTCAACCTGTTCATGATGGTTCGTTGTCTCTAGGATATCTCGCTTCGTTTGGGTGAGATACTGATGGGCTTGTTGATAGCGCTAAAGGAGGGAGTGGCCAAGATAGCTAGAACGTTTGGGGACAAGCTAGGAGGCTTTAGGTTCCCGCCTAGAATTGCACGCACGTTGCAGTTATTCGTAGATTATAGTGCTGTTGGGATATGACATCCTGTTCTGCGCTCGGGAGACCAAGTTTTGCCCCGGTACCACATCCTAGCTGCATTTTACGGTGCTTGCTAACGGGCAGGAGATTTAAGCTTCATCTGACATCTCTAGGTCAGGCTACGAACCACTCCACAGACTTACGGTAATGCTCACGAGATACCCGTAATTGTCATGCACTGACATGGAGGGTGTAGCGTTCCCTTATGCACGTCCAAGCTCTCAATGCCCGTGACCGCTGCTGAATCACGTTCGCGATACTTTCGTGAGCTTAACGGACTAGTACGACACCTCCAGAAGTTATCGTCGCTCAGGCTTCCGGCCTTCTACTAACAGGCGGAGGTCTATAAATAGACTGCGACCTGAAGGTGACAAGTCGCGTTTGCAGAGGAACTGACCCCTGTACGGCTGATGCAACGTCCAATACTGATTGATGAAAGATGCCATATTGCCTTATCCCGATCTCATGCATTCTGGAATTGAGCGCTGACGCATGACATCCGGACAAGATTAGATGATAACTTGTTCGTCGCATCCCCTGCCAGCCCCTTTAAGAACTTGTGCTTGTGTGTATGATTGGTAGACCTCTGTCTCCACTGAAATGGCGTCCAATATCTGCTCGACCATACTCCTCCGAAATGGACTCTTGGCGACGCATAGGGGCGAAGATGATCCTCTGTCGACTCCTTCTGCCCGTCGGGTGGATGTATTGATACAAGGTGACCGGATCGTGGACGTTGCGAAACCGAATTCCGTGAAGCTTCCCCAGCACTACTTCGTCGTCGACTGCAGCGACAAGTGGATAGCACCTGGCTTTGTCGACACGCACAGGTATGTTCCAACCAGGAAGTGGAACCCCTCCTAACGGCCATTAATATCCAGACACCTGTGGATGACGATCGTCAATAGTCACGAAGACTGGACGTTGTCAGAATAGTGAGAAGTCATGCCAGTCCATCACATAAGTTTGCATATCGACTATGTCGTTCACAACAGTCTCGCTAAATTGAGTTGTACCACTGCCGCTTTGGTCACAGCGGAAGACGTATACGTGGGCCAACTCGCTGGTTGCCTACAAGGTGACCGTTCCCTGGCCGTTGCTTGCTTAGGGCCGTGTAAGTGATGACCGCGCCGCGCAGTCGGTGAACCTGGCACACTGTCGTGACCCCTTCAAGGGCATCGTGTTTCACGCGACTGCCGCGGACGTTGATTGGGTCATTGTGAACGGCGAGATAGTCAAGGCGGAGGGTAGGCTGGTAAGGGTAGGCTGGTAAGGAAGAAATGGCTGGAGGTAGCGTCAACGCTAGGGCGTCATATAGACATATTGCAAGAGCGAGTTGCGCGGTATGACCTGGATGAAAGGTATGCTACTGTAGGAGGATCCCCTTACCCTTGCGGCTCGAACTCGCCGTCCGACTAATGGCCAATCCCATTTGTCTATATCGACTTATCTTGTATTTGGTACAGTGATTATGCTTCTTGCTTTCCAATCCGACTCTTCAGTCATCAGCCTTACTCTGTGGACCTGCAGATGAAGAAATTGGCTCCGACTAGTACCAGGCCATACTTCTGTGCGAAATCGATAGCGTTCCAACTCCGCCTTTCTTCTAGAGTCGCGCCGTACTCAGGCTCGCCCTGAGGTATCTCGATTGGGACTGACGCAGGTTCCTGGAACAAGAGAAAGACTAGCGGAACCGGTAAACTTCAGGATGCGCATGTCAAGTGATGACCACGCATTACTCACTGTAACGGTGGAGTCCAGTTCCTGGAGGAGGCCCGGGAGGCCTGTACGGGGTCGTGGCTGGCTTGGTCTTCGTAGCCAGCAGGTTGTCAGATTGAAGACTGGTCTGCGGTGGCGCTTTCAAGCCAGTGATCTATGGATCGGGCTCGCGCTGAAAGTGACAGTACGAGACCACAAGCAACGTACCACCCAGTGCCGGAAGCACTTGAACTTGGGATCAGCTTTCGATGGGGCATCGGGATCAAACATGACGACCGTGTAGGTCAGATCCCTGACGCTGCCTGCCTCGCCTGAACTGTCTGCTTGCTCCGGAGGGACGTTCATCGGTGCGAAGTTGATAGAGGGTTCATCCAGAGTGTCCTCCCTGGTCAGCTCATTGCCTAGTACTGCTTCCTTGCCATTGGGCCACACTATTGAAAAGAGACTCGAAGGATAGAAATCCTCAGGCAGAACGTCGGGAATAATGGACTCTCGCTTCAACGAAGCTATGACGGTAGAGAGCGGGTCCAGCAACGGCATGGTAGCAGTAGTGACTGGGCTTGGGAATGGGGGTACTTGAAGTGCAATCCTAAGTATTCGTGTGGACACAACGAGTGTATTGGCATCGCTTCATCGCGGGCTCGGTCTGCCACTCGCCAGGCGAGGTGGGTCTCATCAAGCTTCGGAAATCTCCACAGCACCAACCCCTATGACACCCCGATCAGGAAGGTGACAGATATTCCGACTTTACCATTTATTTTCTTTCAGCAGCACATTCTCCTGCTACCTCAGTACCTGGCCGTGCGGGGAGAGCGCGAATCCGTCTTGAGGATTTCCTTAGGTTCTGAGTAGCCCAGAGGAATATGAATCCAGCTCTACAACGCTCCTTGAACGCGTTGCAGCGTGATCCAAAGAAGGTGAGTTGGATTTGCCGTTTAGAGGTTGTGGCGTCTCTGCCCCTGCGGTCGAGCAACGAAACTCAGACTTCCTTACCATGCCATATTGTATCTCTTCTGGTTTCCATCCCATCGACTTCTACGTTTCCTTTACTCCTAACCCTCGACTAATGTCTTTCCTAGTCCATTGATGCAGCTCGCCGCGGATCAGTATCGGAATTGATCACCCTCGCCAACTTTTGGCAGGAGATTCCCAACATGGTCTCTTTAGGCGTAATGGATGTTTTCTGCACGCATCTGGACGAGAGGAAGGCGCCGTCATTTCCGAATGTGCCCCGGGTAGAGGATGCTAATCTCGCGTTTATGTCCCTCCTTGGTTTAAGCAAGCTCACCGACTATCCTGACGACGATCGGTCTCTCGGGGACCTTGTTCTACGGACATGGCCAGGCATATACAAGTGGGGCTACTACTTCTTTCAAATACGGATAGTCAAGCAAGACGTCCCGGACGACGTCCGGCGGCAGACATTAGACGTTATATCAGGAGGCTGGTGTGTCGCGTCTCGCGAACCCAGGGTTCGACAAGCCATGCTTGGGACGCCGGGGCTGCTCGACATCGCGGTCCAGTTATGGGTTCACGAAGACGGTGGCCCCGTACCATCTCTGAGCAACATCCCACTCGGGTCGGCGCTGCTCGATGCACTCTTGAGCAAGGTTGATGAGAGGACCCTCACGAAGGTCGTCAAAGCCGCTGGCGGCAAGGCTCCCAACGTCGCGAAGATGGCATTGTCGCGCTTGCGCTCTGCGATCAGAGCGTCGCCAATGGATCCCGCACGCACGCAGATCTTGGCGGACTTGATCAACGAGCTCTCGTATCAGCAGGATCATCGCCTGCGTTACGCTCTCCTCAGCGAAGGCGTCATCGGTACGGTTACCCAGGCCCTCGTCGCTGTCTCCAAAGAAGTCACGGGATCCCGAGATCCCGCCTTCCTAGATGCTATGCTCTCGTTGTTTGGCTACTTGAAGAACTGCCTCGAGTCTACAGAAGGCTTCACATGGGTATCTCAGGCCCTCAACGCCGGCCTCATAACGGCGTTCGTTGATTGCAGCCCGACATATGCCATGTTGTCCCAGGAGGACCGAGAAATGATCCTGTCTATTTTCAGCAATCTACTACCGCGATATATGATATACTATTCCGTCATCGCTGCCGCGGAAGCCCCCATCTTAAAGGTTGACTCTTCTGAGGATATGAAGAAGCGCATCAGAAATAGCGTGGCCAAGGACGTATGGTCCACCTTACGAGACCTCGTGCTTGAGAGGCGCGCAATCTCCGTGCGGTTCAGCGAGACCAAGAAGAACCAAGGCGTCGCCTGTGATAATGTCAAGGTGACCGATTCTCTGGCGGTCCATAACTTGATGATAACGTATGATCGTGAATAGTGCCATAAAATTGATTTCAAGAATAACTTCAAGAAATGCACTGGTTGCCAAGTCACGTTGTATTGCTCCAAGGAGTGTCTGGTAACAGCTTGGAAAGAGGGCGATCACAAGACAGTATGCAAATTGAAGCAACAGGAACGCCAAGGTAGGCGTCTAAGTTTCGTACTTCGGGGCTAATGTAACTCATGACGTGCAGAGGGAAAACTAGAGCCGCTCTCGAAGCGCGACCGACAGTTCCTGCACTACTTGTCCATGCACGACGCCCGCCAGCACCTCCCCCATCTCCGTGAAGAGGCGAAGAGCAAGTTTCCTAGTGTCCCCCTTTCGTCTCTGATCATCAGCATCGACTACACCGGCGTACCATCGACGTTCACCGTGCAATCTCTTGAGAACTACAGTAGTCCTCCGACCAGCGGCTCACAGAACGCGGAGGCTCGCCACGACTCGCTGGTCGAGCGTGTGCAAAAGAATCCGGGGAGCGGGACGCTCGTGGAGGCTCGTATATCGGGCGGACGAGAAGATGCTATGGTCGCGACCCTAGCTGCAGGTGACGTGTGGAACCTTGACCGGGGAAGTATGACGCTAGGTGACGCAGACTTGCAGTACGAGGAGGGCGGAGAAGACGACCTTGCCCTCCTGATTCGAAAAGGAGCATACTGAGCATAACGGCGCTCCCGGCTTATGCAAGAGCTATAGCGATTATTCTTGGACGATGTCATTGGCCACCGTGACGTCATCTCAAGCTCCCAACTGATATAACCAGGGCTCTTATTCAGTACTTCGTCCCAGAAACACTGTACACATGCCATGGCCTCTTCGATCCTGACGCCGCTCTCTTCTCTCGCAGTCAGCAAACATTTTGTCCCGAGATTTAATCGTGTACCAAATTCTTCCGCTACTTCGAAGCCGTTGTTGGTATATCATACCGTCTTCTCCCCGTCCGCCACCAAGTCGTCTATTACCGCCCATCTCTCCAAAATTAACGTTATCGAGCCTCACTGGACATATTCCATGTATCCGACCTCCCACTTCCATTCGAACACGCACGAGGTATTGATCATCCTCAAAGGCTCTGCTAAACTACTCTTCGGCGGTGAAGAGAACCTCGACAGAGTCGAAGCAGATGTTACAAAAGGCGACGCGATCGTGCTCCCAGCCGGAATGGCCCACAGACTTCTCCAGGATAAAAGTGGCGACTTCCAGATGTTGGGCTGCTACCCGGTGGGCGCGGATCAGTGGGACATGTGCTATGGAAAGGAAGGGGAAGGCGACGTCGAAGGACGCATCAGAAAGCTGCGGTGGTTCGAAAAAGACCCTATCTATGGGTCTGAGGGGCCAGTATTGGAAGTCTGATCAGGGAGACTGTACATGTTGATCTAATTCATCTGTACAAGGACATGACGCGCCTGCCGAGCTGCGAACGAACGACGGATTTCTTACACCTGCATCGAAGCTCTTGTGCCCGAGGTCGTTAGGAATTACTCTTAAGGCTGCGGTCGCGTCCAGGGCCAGTCCAATTGTCCAGGACTCTCATGCGGTCGTATCTGGAACGTACTATATGTTAGCGGCGCCGTCGAGAAGTGTGGATCTGGCACAGAGGGCTATTGTGGTAAGGCATACTCAGCACGCGCTGATGAGAGATCTGAACTCGGTCAGAGCGGGTCAACATGACTTGTGACGAGTACAGCCTTATCCATTCTGAGGCGCGTACTGGAGAATTCGAAGTCAACGAGTATCACTAGGTAATTATCACTGTGCTACAGGGGGTTATGTAGAACACGATCGAGAGCGAAGGCAAACATGAGGCTATTTACCCGAGGCCCAGGCTCCGAGGCATGCACACGTACGCCACAACGCGGGGCCGCTAAGTATAGGATAAACTGGCGAATGAGGTCCATGGCCAAGGGCCCTGGAAGCAGCGTGTTCAGGGGTAAGCTGGTTCTACACCGAACGCTGCGAGACGCTGCGGTTCTATCCCTCGCAGGAAATGACAATCAAGAACATAGTGGCTTGCGTCTGCTTGCGTGGTATATAAGATAGATAATTGTTGACGATATGGACCTGCAAATGTACGATGCCGGCGGCTGCCTCATTTTTCAATCGGAGAATCCGGAAACCATCACGTCTTTCCCCAATGCACGAATATCCGAACAGACAGGCGACCGCCGGCCAATCTCGGCCAATCAGCGACTATCCCTTCGCCTTCCGTTGCTTCCACTCAGAACCAATGGTTATTAAGATTGAACGATCGAGGGGACATCGTGAAGACCGTAGAATCCAGGCACCGGCAGAGATTCGATCTGAGGCTTGGGCGAGCACGGTACACCACTCATGAATAAAGAACGCGTCGAGTAGTACGCAGATGAGATTTCTTACCTCCCGCCTGGACCTGCCCCTTCGAGTTCACCACCTGCCAACGAACCACACGATATGTCGTCCGTCATTAACCCCGTCTCTGACGTAAAAGTCGCAACATACCACATACCTCGGCATGGTCGTTACCCCAACTCCGACGCGGACAATAAGCCGCTGGTCCACTATAAATCGCTTTTCCGGAAGGGCGCTGGGAAGGACGCAATCAAAGACCACCTCGCGAAGGTGAATGTCATCCAACCACAGTGGACGTACACCATGTATCCGACCGATCACTTCCATACTACATGCCACGAAGCCATCGTCATTCTCAGCGGGTCCGCTCTCTTGGCTTTCGGAGGTGTAGAGAACCCACGAAAAGTCGAACTGGAGGTCGAGCAAGGAGATGCATTGCTCATACCAGCCGGAATGTCGCACAAGCAGGTCAGAGAGCTGGGGACGAAGGTTTTCGACATGCTCGGCGCTTACGAGATCGGTGCGGAGCACTGGGATATGTGCTACGGCCGGGAGGAGGAGGGTGATACAGGCCAGAGGATCAAGCGCGTTGGCTGGTTTAAACAGGATCCGTTCTATGGGGAGGGTGGACCTGCGACGAAACTGTGATTATAGTGACATTCCTCGGGCAAAGGGATAGGACTTCACAAACACGTTATACCCCGATTTATGCAACATCTCGCTCGTGTATCGTTACCCCGTGTAAGACCATGTACCAATAGCACAGGCCAGGCCTAATACAAGCTCGTTCTTGGAATGAAAAACCCGTGGCCCATATGTGACGGTGCCAGCGAAGAGAAACCGGGTGCGTTCTAGCAGCATCGAATACCCTGGCCTCCATGGTATACACGCAGCTTTGAGTGTAACCGCAACTTCAGATCCGTCCGAGGCAGGAACACGTACTGTGACGCTGTTAGGAGCAGCAAAACTGTGGTAAATCACAATTTGGAGAGACCGACATTACAGGTCTACAGTTTATTGACGACGCCCGGTCATTTCCAGCATAGTGTCCGCCATGAAAATTCTCGCTTCTTTGTCGCAACGGCCCCCATTCTCGCAAACAGGCTGCGCGAAGTCCACCACGAGAGGGGGGCTTTTGTGCAGATAGGACATGGGCGTATGGACCATGCTGACGGCAGGTTTAGGACAGTCCCAGCATTTCCATGCCTTCCTCCGCATGAGGTCCTTCTGATACTTGATAGTGAGCTGCGCTAAGAACCGTTTCGTGGGCACCTCCGGGGAGTATGGTGTGGTAAGGGCGACCGGGACGTTATCAGTGAAGTGAATGACGTCCCCGCCGATGTGGACTTCATACTGGAAAGGGACAGAAGCCCCCTGCAGACCAGAGTTGGCTTCGCCTGTCACCTTCCTCCGGGTCTCTTCGTAATCTTCGTTCGGTATATTCTGAATGCGCTGATCCCGCTCCATCTTCGCCTTGACACACTCTATCTCTTCACGGAGCGCCTTCTCGGAAGGATCGAATGCAGGATTTATGCTGCGTAGATCAGCCAGAGCCTCCAGAGCCTCGTCGAACTTTCCACGAGCATGGAGAGCTCGGGCAAGACGATAGTAGGCCTTCCGCAAAACAGAAGTAGGTACGTGCTCCTCGCCTTTGATGACTTCTATGCAGTCGTTTTCGCATTCCGTGTGTTCTTCTGAGTGTACGCAATGGCAACATCGAGTTAATATTAGGCATCTCGATATGCCTTGGTATACGAATTGGCGGAACGTACCTAATTCCATGTGGCACGCCGCTCTGTTGCATCGCACGGTTAGGATGACGCCAGCAGACGCCTTGTCACTATACTCTTGGATGATTGATGTATATATGCCAGTAGCTTCCTTGTATCGCTTGTTCGCAAAATGTTGATTCCCTTCCGCTTTTAGAGACTGCACCACGTCTACGACATTATCAACGATCTCAGCAGTAAGTCTTGAAATATAGGGATTCACCGTCAACTATGGCAGACATTTCTCCAGTAAGATAGGGCCAGCTCATGTACGACTACTATCACGTGACTATTTTTGTCACACTTGGCGGGGAAAGCACGAAGTCGGTCTTATAACTTTGGGCACAGGTAGAAAACCACAGATGTTTTTTATAAGAATCAAAGATACAGTACATACAAACAGTTCCTATAAAAAACATTTGAGGATCTCGACCCATGGAAATTATAATAAGCTCGACAGTGGTGATTTCTATCGATGATCTCCTCGATTTCCTTACACTGACCTGCCATATATAGGCAAAGCACGTGATTGTCACGGTGTGACCAAGGTAGTCGTGTATGGACTGGCCCTATCTTAAGTGTGAGTCCGAGTGTTAGCCAAGCGAGTTAGGTAACGAACGGTCCGTATGCACGAGTGTATGTATATTAGGAGTCCAGGACTCTCATTCAAACTCCGCGAAACATCCGCGAAACGGGATACGCTCTCGTTTCTTTCAGTGGCAGGACCGACTAAGTACGATCCGGATATTGGGAATTCCTACTCGACAAATAGCATTATGAATTTACAACGAACATAGTACCCCACAAGGTATCGTCTATGCATAAGTATCACATCACCAGGCTGTCACCGAGCACACCTTTGAAGACGCGGAGGAGGCGCCACCATAGTACCTTCCTGGTCCCGATGAACAAGATATACATGGTCCCCGTATGTAAACGTGGAATGTCAACTCATTGCTTCCCACTGGGTGGCTAATTACCGAAAGGGCCAACGCTGGCCAAGCTACCTCGACGAGACCAACCGCAGTCCTCATCCTCTACCACTGAGAGCTTTATTCCCATGAGGGCGAATGCCTCGTATACGACATCGGTGACTGCGTCGCCGGAGCGTTCACCGCAGAGCTCGATAGCCACTGTCTGCAATCGACGTGCCTTGGAGGAAGGCACGCTGGCGCGCCAAAGTGCACACTCGACGAAGAAGGATACGTCCACGTCCCGGCCGCGTAAATCCACCAAATGCGGGCACGCCAGCGCTGCCGCATCTGATGCATCACTCGCTCCAGGGTGAAACTTCTTAATGGACCCGAGAACAGTGTTGTCTACCCGCTCCAACGTGAGGCGCGTCAGAAGACGGCATGCCGAAAGGAAGGTGGAAGTGGACATTTCGCTTGCTTGGATTCGATCCAGTCGCAGGCATTGGATATTATGGAGATACCTAGTGGTTGACAAGTGCTGCAGTAGCGCGTCGCAGTCTTTAGGATCCTTGAAAGGTTCGAGTGAAGCTGCGATGTCTTGCAGACATAGATCCACGAGGGAAGGGAAGGAAAGAAGCGAGAGCACCCGAGCAGCATTCTCGGCGTCTACGAAACCAACCTCTAACTCCGTAAGGCCTGACAGTGACAGCGCTTCAGAGGAAGGGTATAGGAACTTCACATCATCCTGACCATTGTCTGACCTCGCCATCCACCCGACCAGAGCCAAACGTTCAAGACTCCTACAGTCCCTCAAGATCGTCAAGAGCTCGACCAGAGACGGGGTGACATCATAAGCATGGTACTTCAGCTCCAAGCTTCTCAGGTTACATAGAGAGGACCTCGACCAGTCGACGTGCACCCCCGCGAGAGTAACGTGGCGCAGACCCGTGAGCCTACCGTCAAAAAGCCTCACCGGTTCCCGCAGGGCGAGGGGCAAGAATGGCTGACCTCTACGAACAAAGTAAGCATTGCAGCGGAAAAGGGATATCTCTCGGAGCATCGAGGGCGCAGCGATAGATGACGTTCGTGAGAGGAATAAATGGATCGGTGCCCAGGTATCTGTGAGCAGCGTGACCACTTGCCAGCGCGACACGACGGGCAGAAGTAGGTCGAGGATGTTGGACATGTCTCTCGGACTGAAGATGTGATCATCTTCGGCCCAACACCACGAAGGATCGCGAAAGTCCAGGTAGAGATCGAGCGGGCAGGTTTTGGAGCGCTCAAGGAAAACGACGGTACGTTGTCGACTGGTAGAGGTCACCGCACTCTGCAAGGAAAGTGTCGTCCACAACTGAGCGGTGGATACGCTTATAGTTCTCCACTGTGAGCAGACGTGAGATAACCAGAGAGGCATCAACATGCGCAGATGAGGCGAATTGTCGGACGAATGTGTCGAATAAAGAAAAATGTATGATAGGATCTCCCATGGAAGCCTGTTAACATTACGCCGCTTTGCAAATGCAGTCCTGGCCTTAGGCATCAAGCCCATGCTGCAGAGCTGAAATGACTCAGGAGAATGTTCGTTGACGAGAGCATCCGTGAAAAACATGTCGTAAAAGTGTGGTGCGCGTCGCTGAAGGACCGTCAGCAATACAGCCAAGCTGGACGGAAGTACCCACTGACCATGTATCGTCGAAAGACTTCACGATGAGCGTGGTCCTCGCGAATATTTCATGAGGTGCAAGCCACTGAATCCTGGAAAGCGATGAGGCCTCTTGTAGTATCAGAATTTACCACAGAAAAGGGCCATCTGCCATACAAGTTCCTGCCACAGGATACAGTGCTCCGATGGGACCCTCTGGTCGACATACGGCGGGAGCCGCAGACGCGATTAGGACCAGTGTGACGGGCACGTGTCTGCCATAAAGGCAGACATCTAGCAACAGAAGCCGAGCAACCGAGGAGAACATAACATCTCCACAGGATCCAGAGCGTTGAAAACAAGGACATATATGGTCCCACAACACCCGCCCAGAGACACGAGGCTCGGCAGGGGATCTCGGTGGAGAGCTGCAAATACACGAGGAGCGCCACACCTAAGTCGTAAAGCCTCATGTGAGACTAGCGCAAGTCGTGTACGACCATCAGAGATGCGCTCCCTAGCGATCTGAAACAAGTGCCTCGCCAACCTTCTCAATTTGCCTTGAGGATTCCATATCGAGCGAGGGAGGCGCCGAACATATGGCCGTCGGAACCTTAACCACGTCGCATCTTAACGGACGCGGTTCCTTCCTCCGAGCTCTGGAATGTTTATCTTGGAAGTCGGATAAAGGGACGCTGCGTCTTTGAGCGAAAGACTGGATGCCCGTTGCTGAGCTAATCCCTGGAGACAGGCTGGTTCTCTACATGCACATCTTCCGTCCTAATCGGGGTATAGCATCGCTGTGAGTATATTGCTTATATGTCCAAGCCGGAGGAGTATTATCAGCATGTGTCGAGATTCCTGTTATCCGTTGGCGTCGGTGGCAGCGAATCGTTCTGTACACGGAGCTGGAGAAAAATGAACCTAGAGTTGAAGCGCTATAAACAAGGACATTGATGTAGTGCCCCTCACTCGCAACCGGCCGCGAAAAACGCATTCATATTGATAGCGAGTAGAAGTCCGATGGGCTCTAGTTGTAATGCCGGGACATAGAGCCCACTCTGCCGCGTGAAAGAGCCGTTTCGTACGAGGAGTAGAGTGTCCATCGAGTAACAGAGTACCCGTCGTGATGGCGCATTACGGTAGAGCGCTGGTACGGGATACAATGCCCCTAAACGAGGGACTAAGGTAAGGCCAGAGTAAGACGGGCGCTCATTGGACTTCCGCGCTGGCGGCGTTGCACAATTCAGTATTAATTTACGTATTACTGCATTTTGGCAGGGACGTGCAGTCAAAGGCGACCAATTGAAATGTTCCTTCGCGAGGTCGTTCCTGCTCTCGAGGACGACGCTGCTTGTCGCTGGTAGTAGCAGCCTAGCAGTGTACGCCTGCCTTTATCGTCGGGGCAGGTCTGCACTTAGGCTCTTGATGAGCGGGAAATGGTAAACTGGCACGACCCAGGTGTTCTCGCCCAACAAGCTGCCATTTTCGACCGATTGAACATCTATCTTTTTGGATTATACGGGTGCGCCTTTTTGTCGCAACCAGCATCTTCACCCAAGGCTGAAGAAGCAAAGATGGGAATGGCTACATACGCTATCGTTCGAATATGCTTTAATATCGGGAAGAATGACATTTAAGTGGCCTTATGTGGGTCCATTTATTGTGTAATGCAGACGGAATAGTTAACCAGAGCTCTTAGACCTTTTACTTCCTTGGAAGGTACACCCTCTTGTGCATCCTATGCGCCACGTCTGTCTCTTCCTCATTTCCTCTGCGAATGTACTCACTCGCAATGTTTCAGGATGCTTCTACGCACCGGACTAGTAGTCACAGTCAACTGCCAAGGCAAGTGATTTCCTTCACCGATCAATAATGGCTTCCTCAACGGAAACAGTGGGCTTCCAGGCGTTGACAGTATGTCGTCATCGCACTTGTACACTCTTATACAGTCTAATTATCGTCTCAGCTAGCAGGAAGCATAGTCATGGGGTGTGCGACGGCCAATTTCGCCATCAGAACGTATGTCCTCTGGAAGGATATTTGGCCGGTGGTCCTGGGTCTAGTGCTGTTGGTTGTTGGTCATTGGACAATACTGTTGATGTGTAGGTTGCGGTTGTTTTTGGAGTCAAAATACAAACACTGAACCATGCTGAACTCCTCAGCTGTAACTAGCGTCTCCGCATCGTGGAGTGCAGAACGGGGAACATGCATTTTCATCAGCGCTGACCGTAACAGGGTGTTGATGCTATACACATACAGTAGGTTTGGCCGCTGCGCGGAACCCCCTTTCCTCCCAACCGGTGGTCTGACGATCCCACCCACAGCCATAGCGATCGACTTTATTGTACTGGTCATGACCTTCCTTCCGGCCGTTCGAACCGCGGGGCGTCTATCCCATAGTGCCCTGTGGGATAAACTGTGCAAGCAAGGTATCCTCTACTTCATTGCGGCGTGCACCGCGTACATTTTTCCGTTGGTACGCCGGTTCACTGGCTGCGGTCTTGGGATATGATCACGGACGAGGCTAACGGCGTCTCATCTCAATCCGTAGGTGTTCATCGTGCTGAATTTGAACGGTACGTCGGGTTGTCCCCTGTGATATCCAGCAGTAAGATTAGACGAGAGCAGAGATCATGAACGTTATCTGCAGTATTCCAGGTACGCCTACTCACATACTCGCTCATGTATCCCGCTGATCGATCCCTTACATGCAGCTGGTTGCCTAAGGTCGGCTGTCGTCTCTGAGTTCACGACTAACTTAATAGTGACATGTTGACCAGCATGATGGCATCCTGCCGCTCTGTAACAGCCTTGCTGAAAGATGGGGACGACCGACGAGCATCGTGCGTACCGGAGGTACGCAAGGCTCGGTAGATAGCTAACCTGTGCCGTCGCAGTCATAACTCAGTACACTCCCTAAGCAACAGTGTGACGGTCGACTCATTCATAGTCTGGAACTCCTGCGACTCCCATGAAGAGACCCAAGCGAGCAATCTACCGCCGCCGTACGTCGTTCTCCACAAGATGTTCACTAGTGCTCACCCAAGTTTATTACAGCAGCCTCGGCAAGACGTCTGACCCACACATGAGCGGGCGCGCTACGGAGTCGCTCACGGAAGCCGGCATGAGCCCGTTGAGCGAAACTACGGAAAATCGCGGGAACGAAGGCTATACACGTCCATTGGTGCGGCCAACTCCTCCGACCTCGTAGCAAGGACCTTCACTTCTGCTACTGGAGGGAATTACGAGGGGTCGTTCATGCCGATCCCCAGCGTGCCAAGGGCAGACGCAATGGAATACTGGGGGCATGACACCACGTTGGCGTACATATTGACGTAGGAGCTAACGGTCTTTGATTGCCTACCCCTTATGTAAAATATCTAGAGCAAGGATTCTTGACTACCGCCCGTCTTGAACAGAGGCCCATTAGCTGTGATCTGGTTGTGACGGCAAGACCAAAGAATGAACGTGACCACTAAGCGAACGTCAATGTCCAATCTCGCAGAAACATACCTGCGCCTCATAGAAATTGGATCGCTCGAAGACCTTGCAGAATGCTTGCGATACGCAAACATTCTGCAAGATCATCGAATCTACTGAGATCTGTGCTTGATCCAGTCCCGGCGGCTTCGTTCAAAGGGGCGATTCAGAGATCGGAGGGCGGCTGAGGGATAAACGTTTCCTCAGTGGTTGTCAAATTCGAGCACGGTGATTAAGGAGAGCAACGTACGGCACCTCCGCGCCGGCGAGCATAAATTCAATGCATTGTCATAACGAGAGAGCAATGGAAGGATGCTGTTGCTACAAGTCTATGTACTGGCTGGAAGCGTATGATATAACAACTACTAGTAGGAAGGATATAATCCATGGTGGGGTTGAACCAGTCATAATGCAGGGGATGAGGTCCGATAATGTATGTGGACGACACGCAGTGAAGCCAGTGTAGTTAGATGGTAAATCCACGAGTAAAATAGCTGAGGGTGCAGTAAATAAGCTAACGTCCATGTCGTAAATGTCCGGCGGAATCAGAGAACTCACAACTCAGACTGGGGGAAGGTCCTATATCCTGACAGGCGTAGCCGCCAAACCTTTCTTGAACGACCGCACGAATTCGAATTGAGGACCGGTTTCTGGGCTGCAGGGGAACCGCTTGCACTTCTCTACGGTCTTCCATTCCTCTGCGATGAGCCTGAGCGCCTCCTCTCCGGATGCAGCAACTCCGCACTCGACCAACCAGCACCCGATGACCATCCCCGTGCGCCCAATCCCTCCTCTGCAGTGCACCGCGCTGATCCGCCGTCTTCTTTCATTGTCCTTCAGCACGTCCAGGATCCTGCCCATGTACTCCACTGACTCTGGTAGCGACCGGTCGTGGATGGGGAAGCGGTGGTACTCGATGGCAGCAGTGTCGATGTCGAGCTTGCGCGCCCGCTCCGCGAGCGCGCACTCGTACGACTTGAGCTCCCCCGCCTCCGTCAGGTCGATGAACGTCCGCACGCCCGCTCTCAGCAGGAAGTCCAGCTTTGGTTGCTGCGCCAACGGCTCCCATGGGTATTCGCAGGCGAGCAAAAGAGGTGTGGCCCAGTACGAATTAGGTATTGGGCGCTTCAGCACCTCATTCAACCTGGGTCGTGTGGATGCGAATCTGGGCTGCAGCGAGTCGAGCTGCACGACGGACGGCATGGCAGTGGCAGGCATGGCTTGTTGTACGACCGTCATAATATGCAGATACAAATTATATATTTGACTGGCAATTGATATGAAGACGGCTGGTCGGGGGAATGGGAGGGCGGGAGAAAGGCAGGCGGGTGTTTCGGGAGGTGGCATTAAATGGGGCTACCGCGTGTGCCACGTGATCACAAAACTGTCGCTTTGGTGATGGTGCGAGAGGAGTTCCGATGCAACGAGGCTGTCCGCGACAAGAGCCGGAATACAAAGGTCGAGTATCGCGGAAGACACGCTTTTTTATGCGTTTGACGGTACGCCAAAGACACTCATATATCAGCTCGTGCGTGCGCTCTATTCTCTGAAAGTGTGGCTGTCCCGCTGTAGCACATGCGATCTCGCCTTTCGTCGTGGCCAGACACGAGTTCTCGAACTTCTCAAGCGCCTTGGTCCGAGCACCAGGAGATAGCACATTTGTCGCTTTCAGAGGACGAGTGCCACAATTATGGCCGTACAAAGGCCGTGATTACCCCCCCCCCTCCCTCCGTGCACTTTTACCGGTCACATAATGCGGAGGTTGTATTCGAAAGTTATGAGACTTGTGACCGGCTTACTTCGAGCTTATTTCAGCCTATCCCCGGATCTTCAGAACCAGCCGGCGAGTATTGTCCACTACGTCTAAGCAGACGCCTACCTGTGCTGCCAAGCTGGTGAGACGATCCTCGGAAGCTCGCTCGCTGTTTAAACTCTCTGGCCTTGGTAGCTGGATCTTGGACGGACACGGGATCTAATAATGATTCCGGGCAGGCATAAATACGACAGCAGCGATGATCTTAGCCGCTGAACACGTCTCAAAGCGCCCAGCCATTCCCTGGAGTGATTACATTTGAACGCGCAACACAAGGTCAGCCCTTCCATTTAGCGCCTTCAGGACGCACAACGCCTTGTTCTGCGTCCCCCATGACGGACCGACTCACCGGTGGCTTCCTTACTCAGCGGTTCATTCCCATCTGACATTGCTGTCCTGTCGCTTTTCGGGTGGTCCGTGCTATTATTGGTGCCGTCTATCCGGACGTCAACGAGGAATTCGTATAGGATGTCAGCGCCCGTGCCTTGTTAAGTATTTGGGCAGAGACGGCCCTGGATCATGGACTAAAGTGAACAAGGCCCATCTTTCCCTGTGGTCGTATGAAGCGCAAGTCCTTCTATGCGTTCGGAATACCACCTCTTCCTGGATCTCCGCCCCGCGTATATTCGGATACAACGTCTTTGGAATCCAGAAGATGTATTTCTACCTCAAGAGGTCCTGACTGAAGATAAGCGGATCCCGTTTCAGCAAACAGACTCGAGTCCCCACTGTGGGATGAAAGACATATTCGACCCTCATCATTATGCATCTGCACTCTTCTCAAGAACAGGGAGGAAGGTATATGGGCAATGATGAGTTCTAGAGGCCGCCTTTGAACGGTGAAGCCCCGACTTTCAAGAGTCCTCTTCACCCCAGATAACATCCATCTCCTCACTATCACACTGATCTGCAGGGGCACCATTGGCTTTGCGGTACGGTTCTTTGCGCTTCTTGGCCAGCACCCCAACATGCCGCTTCTGCGTGTATCATATCGATTTCATTTCATCGAGCTGCGACCCGTATATTCATGGCCACCATCTGACGCCTGCTGCGTTTCTCTCTTTCCGATAGCTCAGCACCATGGCCCTCGCCGATCCACCATCCCCGCGCGCCTGGTGGAAATCCGCTGTCGTATATCAGATTTACCCTATCTCGTTTTTCGACTCCAATGGCGACGGTTTCGGCGATCTCAATGGCATCCTCGCCAAGCTCGAGTACCTCAAAGATCTCGGCGTCGATGTCCTTTGGCTTTCCCCGATATACAAATCTCCCCTTGCTGATATGGGGTATGACATGTGCGTGCCTGTATGCCAGCTTGCTATCTGAGAGTATGGTTCTAGTAATGGCGTAGAGCGGACTATCAGGCCATCGATCCGAGGTACGGGACGCTGGAGGACTGGGATCGCTTGATCGCGGCAGTCCACGAGCGCGGAATGAAGTTGATGTGGGTGCTCATTTCGGACGATGACGGTCTCATGGCTCATGGGCGCGCAGGATGGACCTCGTGGTCAATCACACGTCTGACGAGGTCAGCTTTCCGATGCGTTCTCACTCGTCAGGGTCTCACAACGTGTTGTCCGGCAGCATGAATGGTTCGTCCAATCCCGCTCCGACAAGGACGCCTCGCGAAACCCGAAGCGTGACTGGTACATCTGGCGCCCGCCCAAGTACGACGAACAGGGTAATCGCAAGCCGCCGAACAACTGGAAGTCGGTCTTCCAAGGCAATTAGCATTGCGTCTCGGTATCGTACCCTATGGTTCTTACCTGTGTTTTAGGGTCAGCTTGGGATTATGATGAGAAGACTGGGGAATACTACCTCCATCTGTACGTCTCCAAGCAGCCTGATTTGAACTGGGAAAATCCTGCTGTACGGGAAGCCGTCTACGAAATGATGGAGTGGTGGATTAAGAGGGGATGCGACGGATTTCGAGTGAGTGGACGCGTTATCCGACCTAGTGACGCTGGGCGTTCTGAGATGCTCATCGCAGATGGATGTGATCAATATCATCAGCAAGGTCGACGGCCTCCCCGACGCGCCCGTTACGGATCCGAAAGAAGAGTATCAATCTGCTAGCATATTCTTTGCGAATGGGTAAGTCGGCCCTGGAGCTTCTGCAGATAATTCTAACATATATCGCACTCTCCAGACCAAGGGTCCATGAATACATACGTGAGATGAACGGTCGTGTGCTGTCTCGTAAGCCATGAAAATAACTGAGCTGACGGTAAGATATATTGATCGGCTTGGCCCATTGACTTCTTCAGGGCATGACCTTATCACGGTCGGCGAGACTCCATTCACGCAGAACGCGCAAGATCTGCTGCCCTACGTGTTACCCTCTAGGCACGAACTGAACATGGTTTTCCAGTTTGAATTGATGAGCATCGACTCCTACGTGGACCCTTTTGGAACTGACGTTCCCCTGGTCCCCAAACAGTGGAAGCTGAAGGATCTGAAGGATGTCGTTACCAGATGGCAGACTTTCGAGCGGGAGGCGGGTTTCTGGAATGCGTGAGTCCGCTGGCTTGCTCTATAGTCGTGATGCGATGGAGCTTGTGCAGGGTATTCATCGAGAACCACGATCACTCACGATCAGTCTCACGATTTGGCAATGACTCCCCGGATTGGCGAACTCTGTCTGCTAAGCTGCTGGCAATGCTCGAGATTACTCAGAGCGGGACGCTCTATATTTACCAAGGCCAAGAAATCGGGATGAAGAACGCACCGCCGACATGGGGGCTTGAAGAATACAAGGACGTCGCTACTCAGAACTTCTGGAATAGGTTCGGATGACTTCCTTCTCCTTACAAGCTCGGATTTTTGGTGCTGATTGTTCAATCGCGTTAAGTGTCCTGGAAAAGCGCAAAAGAGAGACCAAAAATGCAGATGTAGACATGTCGGACGTCATGGATGGTATTAGACGCAAGGCTCGTGATCATGCTAGACTCCCCATGCAGGTATGCGACCGTGCAGTTCGCTGCCGGTCGAGCAGAGGGCTCATCGACTGTTCTTCAGTGGGACAGCTCTGCCTACGCAGGATTCTCCCCTGCCCCCCCTTGGATGCGTGTAAACGACGACTATCCAGATTGGAACGCCGAGGTGCAGTTGGAGGATACAAGCAGCGTTAGGAGCTTCTGGAAGCAGGCATTGACTCTGCGAAAGAAGCACAATGTCCTCGTGAGTCCGCTGGCTACAACTGTTCTTGCCGTCACCTTGGCATTTTACAGGTTTATGGCGACTTCACGCTCCGGCATCCAGACAATTCGCAAGTTTTCGCGTACACGCGAAGTCTAGGATCAGCAACGGCCCTCGTCCTCCTGAATTTCCACCATAACCCGACAGAGTTCAAGTTGGACGACGTGCCACACCTCATAGGTGGTCCGTTGGTTCTTGGGAACTATCCAACTGCAGACCTTCCGACGGAGGCGACAGAGGCCGTACGGCTGCGAGGCTACGAAGGACGGTTGTACTTCTCATCTTCTGTACACGTATAGCTGTTACTGTGAGTATGATTAGTTGCCGAAGCCCCAAGGTGATTGCAGAGTGACTCCGGCGCTGGGGAAGCTCTAGTCACTGCAGCAGTAGTGCTGGCTGAGTGCAATGCTGCCGTCCCTCTGCATGCGTTATCCGTGACACAAGCGTGACATTATACATAAACATCAGGAAATGCTCATTTTCCTATGACTGTCTATGGCTGCCCATGGGAGCTATGCAGGCCTAGAAAGCCCTATAAAGTATGATATAAGCATGGACGTTCCTCTGGAGGAACGTTCTGTTTCCTGACGAAACGATGTGGCGTGAGACTCCTGCCTTCCGTGGGAGATCAGCCACTGCGTAGCAATGTGCAGTATACTACAGCGCAGTAGCCTCGCGCAGCGTAGTGGCTTGCGATTACCGAGTCAAGGGGTGTGACTGTGACCTGGTGGAAGGTCCGCACGACTGCCACGAGCCTCCCACTTCTTGTCAGCTTCTATATATGGTAAACTACGAGCCGTACGGGCCCCGAGGGCTTTGGCCATGGGTACTACACAAAGCCTGTACAGTACCACGTGATTTATCACAGTGGTGAAATCCATGATTGGGGTGCCGAAAAAGAGGATGGGTTATGTATACTGGGGTGTTGCTACCATACATCTCTGGTAGTATATCGGATAGTACACCCGCCTGTCAAGTAATTACGTAAAAGCTTATGTAAGCCCTCCGCGGGAGAGCGGGGTTCGACTCCCCGCCAGAGAGTATTTTGCCTGCTATTCATATTTACGACATGCATAGGATACCCTTGTCTATTTGCCCTACACTCGAGCGCTCGGAAGTACTCTGTCAAGTAGTGCAGGGCCACAGGGCAGACACTGAAGTGTTGACTGCATTCGCGGCGCTCGAGTGACATTACCTAGATCCCCTGGAACTGAGCTGCCGGAACAAGAATTCATAACGGGCAGTACTCCTTCAATTCTCACTGCCCTTGCGAGGGATGGGAACTCTTGACATCGCCGGCGGGACTTCCAAGTGGGACCCTCTGGTAGGTGTCCGTGCATTCCCATGCGCAGAGCATCTTCCCTCTGTGCTCCCTCGGATCACGCCGTTCACGGATGTGCCGGCACTGGAAGGCCTTGACGGCGGTCAATTCCATGAGGAAGATTACAAGTAGATATAACTTACGGCGGGATGTCGATACGACTGGTAAGTGGAGGCTCCTCAGAGTCCACGATTACCCGAACCTCGTGTCCTTCTTCTCTATACAGGCCCCGTCAATTAAACGAGGGCCGACATATTTCACTCCTTCACCTACTGTTTCTCGAGCTCTTGATATGTGAGTATAAGTGATGTGACGCAGTGGCAGGAAGCGATCATGCTAATCGAATGATGAGCGGATAGCCTTCCGTCACCCTCGTAAGTGATCCTACCTGATCACTAAGGCTGGAGAACGCCTTTAGCGTAAGGGCTAGAGAGTTATAAGGGATGCGCACCTGGTACGCTCAAAATGATGTCCATGATAGCTGGCCACACAATCAATTAGTCCGGCATGATGGGCGGCGCGATTGGGGAGCTTACTATTGTAATTCAACCTCGCGAAAACCTAATACCAAAGCCACAGCATGAATTGCCCATCTAACAAATGGTTGATGAGATACTGACCACAGATGACGTGTTGACAAGAGAGGTAAGGAGGAAGTACTCGATGCCTTGCCGAAATAAAACTCTTCTTATATCGTGCATATGCCAACCGCGCATGTCGGAGCTCCCCCTCAATAGCCCAACGATACTGGCAATCAGAATGAGCATATCGAATATCAAGGCTGCAGTGATAAATCAGATTTAACTCGGCTGGGAGACCAAGAGCCCTTACTGGCGATATATAAGGCGGTGAGTGCGTCCTGATGTGTTTGGACGATGAGGCAAGCGCCGAAGAAGCTATCATAGTCCGTCCGAATAAATTTCACAGCAGCTATCCAGACAGGACCGTTGGTCTAAGCGACGGACACTAAGCGACGGACAAAAAGCGGGGTCGACTCACCATTGATAACACAGTACCAATGAACGGCCGCTATTGCAATGAGAGTCGTCACTGCATACCCCTTGTACTTCCATATGAGAGCCCTTAGTCCGTAGACGTGAGGACAGCGACGTAAAGACCACAGGGAGACGTGCTCACGTCCGTATGGCAAGATTTAACGAAGCGCAGCCAGTTCCGAGCATAAAGGTCACCTAACGAAAGGTCCATGACCAGCTGTAACCGAAGCAGAAGTTCCACGCACTGCTATAAATTTATACTCCACTATCTTGTTTGGTTAGGGAAGGGGTCGCGATACTCTTACAGACATCGCACACACCATCGCACTCAGCCATAATTGAGTGGTAGTCCAGCTTGTTCCTGTTGAGGAACCGAATGAATCCATGCTAGTGAGGAAGCTATGCGCAGGAATCTCACAGGACCGCGAACATGGCAATAACGGAATAACGACCTAAGAAGTACGGAATCTTGGCGACGACATCAGACACCACCCAGGCAGACGGTACGAGAATACTCACATAGGGCCATTTGAAGTGAACTTTCCCTGTTATGATCCACCATTCAAACCATAAGGTTTGCAGAAAATCGTATCTGGTACGGAGAAGTTAGACATAGCTACACCGCACGCAGATCACGAACCCATAGATCCCCATGAAAAATGCCATGACCTTCTCGTAGATACCCGCATCTCGTTCAATCTCGCCGGGATCACTCCAGTCAATCAGAGCCAGCGGTTCGAGCATCTCTCATTAGTAGAGAAGACGCCGTGACGGCCTACCGCGCAAGAATTCCGGGTGGCTCTGCGTTGAACGGTCCTGATGGCCGTCGCAAGAGGAAAGGGTCCTATGACAAGCAAGGACGTTAAGTAGGAGCGCTTCATGAAGCTTAGGGCGCAGCGCGAGGGCACCCCATTCCCATGGGCATACGGCATAGGAAAGAACACTGTGTGCCGCCAAGCCCCAATGGACTGCTTCTAAGAGATCCCGAGGCCAATCAACGCGCCGATAATGAGGTTATCAATGTAGCGTATCTATAAGCTGGAGAAGCTTCAGATACGAAAGATCTCGGTCAGAGCCAGCATCAGTCCGAGCGGAGGATCTTGACTTGGTTTAGTCTCGACCCAAGCGGATTAACGAAACTTGCTCTACCTGTACAACATATACATAGCACGAACCGTCGGCAGAAGGGCTGCGTCACCCTAACCAGTGACGGTGGCAATCGTGATCCCCTCGCATCCGATGGCGTGCAGGCGTCTTGAGAAGGTATATATCTTCAATTTAAGGCAAGCTCAAGAGTAGACTCTTGAGCGTGAGTTCAATTCTGGCTGCTCGCGCAGCGAGTACAGTGACTCTATAATTACGTTAGCTACTGTACTGTTGTGGTTCATTCGTCACAGGGACATACCTCAAGGGCAAGTCCTAGGATTCTCCGAATAAGCGAGTGTCCAGTGAGGACAAATCATGGTCCTCATTTTTGTCACGAGGCTTAGTATTCCTTATGTTGGAAAAGGGCCCGTATATAGGTCCCGCTGCGGGCATTTGCAAGCGCTACAACCCTTCACTGACCTCACCGAATCGACTTCGAAGTGAGCAGGGCATTGCTCGGTGCATTGAATAAGTGATCGACCGCTACTCAAGTTCAACCGTCCAAGCATCATTGATGGGCAGCAGTTTTGATCCCGACACAAACACAAGTGAAGGCGCGTACAGTGTATGTCACTAAGAGTCGGCACCTCTGTGGCACCTTAATTATGCCGCCGTAGGCGGCGAGAAAAAAATTTGAAACATAAACCTGGCCAAAAGACGCGTAATCCTGCATTTTCATTTTTTTGGGTGCTTACGTAAGCGTTCAAATATGGGGTCACCGAGCGTAACCTCATTTATTTGGGAGCCAGCTGCGTCCTGATCACTCAAATATGGTTGTATAGGACGTAAATGGGGGTCTCCGATGGAATTCCTGCGATAGGGAGTGTCCCACACCGGGCCACACGTCCAAAGCAAGTAGTGCCTTCACCCTAACCCTAGCCAGGCACGTGGCTCGGCTACCCTGGCCGTGATTACAAAGCTCCCCTTTATGGTAACTCCGCTACATCTCCGACCCAAATTCAAATATGTGAAGGATTAAATTCTTAAAACTCGGAATTTCGAGAAAATAATCAGATGGCTCGAAAGCTCTCGTGAAAAGGAATCGATTGGTCTGGTTTTCGGGACCTAAAAGTCTTTTCTCACGATCGTGATAGGATCCGCGGCTCGCCTATTGCCGAGTGGTCGGTTTTGAGCGCCTCACACTGTAGCAAAGGCCGTGGGAAAAATGTTGTCGGTTAGTAGAGGCTTGCCACATTGCAGCCACAGCCCGGCGTACATGCGCAGACACTTTGTCCCTCATGAATGCTTCATCAGTTGCGCGCTGTTCACGGAATTCACGAATATTACGAGAAGAACTGTCAGTGCTGGGAATTGCATAGGAAGGGTCCCGTGTCAATCGGTCTCCCTCTTTTCCCGAAAGGCCATCGTGCCAGGGGTGGCGTGTATGCGTGTGCTAACGCTTGACAGCGGACCAGAGTACGTCCATGTACAAGTTCTTCTCATACTGTGTGGTTTGACGCGGTCTATACTGTTCAGTTCAGGTGTGCAGACCACGCATTGTTATACGCCTGAACCCCCTGAACCCGGCCAGCGTGATATTCGGCGGCTATAGAGCTGATAGGCAAACCCCTTCAAATTCCCATTCTTTTACCCAGATGCGAGGATGGTGAATACTTGGATTTGCTACTGTGTAAGGCGAATGACTTGGAGCTTTCGAGACTGCTCAATCAGACTACCGTTTGCATGTCTTGATGCCGTTGAGGGCGTGGAATGGTCGCCGTCCCCCACTCCCCCCCACCCAAGAGGTCATGCCCTGCGGCCTCGACAGAGTAGAGAAGGTCCTTGCAGCTTAGGAATTGTATCCGGTGAAGAGATGAGTATTTTTCATCGAATGCGCCCATCGTGTTGAACAAGTGCTAGTACCATCGCCTGATTTTCTTCATTATAGGAGCGCAAGTGCACAATTATACCACGGGCCAATGTCGGATACGTACGGATGTTTTTTGCTCGACAATCGTATCGCGTGAAGCTTCCGAAGCTCGGCTATGGCGGCCCGGGATCGCTTCTGCTGTCCACGTTACACTCTGCGCCTCTTCTGAGTCCTCCTTCCTGGCAGATTTTTACACCGTCGACCACTTTCTCAAATATCCAGGCTACTGGCTCGACCAACTCGAACACTCGCCTCCTCTTCGTCTGTCAAACATACGTTGACTCTGTCCTTTTACGTACACTTAGCCCTTAGACGATATCCTCATATATTATTTTCTTTATGACGTCAAGGGCTTACAGTGCGTCTTCTGCTTTGCCATAGGACGCCATCCCGGCATACTTGTGGGATAATCGCGTACGCCTGACGGAATTCTTCCGGCGCTCCTGATCACTGTCGGGCAGGTCAGCTGCTCGGCGCGCCGTAAGAATACGTCGAGGAATATCCCCGGAAATTCTTGCTCTTCCCATATTATGAGCTCAGCAGATAGGTCATGAAGGTATCTAAGCCGGTGTCTTTCCCCCATCGACTTTCGCGCCTAGCCTGCTCTGCGGCAGGTGGTACTGGTGCTGGATTCTCCGGATCTCAAGATGGCCATACGAGCGACGCTTGCGGTGGCCGTGGCCATACTGGCGGGCCTGATCCATGTCAGGTCTGTGTCGGCAGAGGTCGAAAAGCGCTGGACACTTCCTGTCCCGCTACCTCCTCAGTCCGTGGTATGTCAACCGGCGACTAGTCTTTTCCGTACACCCGTGTCACCGTGGCGATTACCCGTCGTGAATTGAACTAACTCAACTTGTAGTATCTCGATCCTTTCTCGTTTGCCGTTATTGGCGAGAACGATACCTTCAGGAATAATTCAGTGACAGGCTACTTCAACCCTACGAACGCGACCGCACCTTTTTTCCAGATCTTTGACCCCTCGTTCGTCACCACGGTGCTCGGCGAATCCCCGTCTATCCAGAGCATCGCCTACAATCCAGGCTTCGCCTTCGCTCACGAAGCACCTATATATGTCCCAGAGCTCGACGAGGTCTTCTTCACGAGTAATGATGGAGGTACCCTGGGCTACAGCAACTGGTACAACAACAGCGTCGTTGGTAAGATCAGTATGACGGAAGTGGAGAGTGCCGTCAGCGCCGCCGGCACTACGCCAGCCAATGTGAATGTCCAAGTTACAGAGGTGAGCGACTTTCCCCCCCAAGTCCTGTCAGACATGTAAGATCTGCGTGAAGCTGCCGTTGGCCGACACCATCCAAATGACCAACGGCGGCACTGGTCCCTACTACGGAAACCTGGTACTGGTGACGTCCGGACGCGCGCTATTTCCACCCTCCCTGGCCTTGGTGAACCCGAACCCCCCCTACAACGTGACAGTCCTTTTGGATAACTACTTTGGCCGTCAATTCAATTCTTTGAACGACGTGAAGATTCACAGACAGAGTGGGAACATCTTTTTCACCGATCCAACGTGAGCGCGGGTGTATATTCAAATGAATGGATCTGACCAGTGGCGACGCGCCAGTTACGGATATCTCAATCAGTTCCGCCCCGCTCCCGGTTTGCCAACGCAGGTTTACCGGTACAATCCGGCCACGGGGGCGGTCAAGGTCGTAGCGGATGGTTTCAACAAGTGCAATGGTGTTGCATTCAATCCCTCCGAAACGGTAGCATACGTGTGAGTATTACTGTGCCAGTGCCTGTATCGCGGCTTACGGTAAGCATATCCCAGGACGGATACTGGAGTTTCTGGTGGCTTCGAGGGTTTTGATCAGACCCTTCCGGCAACGATGTAAGCTCTTAACCATTCTCATGAATTAAAATCCAACGCCTTGTCATGTCCACTTATCTCCGTATAACAGCTACGCCTTCGATATCGACCCTCTCACCCAAGCCTTCACCAACCGACGCGTCTTCGCATACGCCGACGCGGGTGTCCCCGACGGTATTCAAGTTGATTCGCTTGGTAATGTCTACTCCGGCTGTGGAGACGGTATTCAGGTCCGTTTCAACTCCTGGGAGGGGGGCAGACTAAAATGACGCATCATCACCCAGGTCTGGAACTCGGAGGGTACCTTAATCGGCAAGTTCTTCCTGAACTCCACCTCAGCAAACATGATATTTGCGGGTCCTGGTCGCCTCGTTATCCTAGACGAGACCACAATATATCTCGCCAGGATCCAGGCTCAGGGCATTGATCTGGCGTATCCTTAAGGGGATGGACATGTCACTAGAGGGACTATAGTTGATGCACGCGCCCGCTGAACAGGTCGTTATCGGCCGCTGCCATATGTTGTTGAGCTTTAATTGAGGTACACTTCCCTCGAAATCAAGCTGGAACCGAATAATCAGCGTTATTGCTTGGTGCTGAGGCGCGTTCCAGTCACGTGTCTGTCATTTGAGCCACGTGATTCGCGCGACACGTCTGGAACCGACGACTTGCCGAGGAACAATGGCCATCTGTGTGATGCCATCTGAGACTTGGCCTTTTGTCTACGACTATCAAATATGAGGGGGAAAGGGCAGTGGGTCCGAGTGGCTCAAGGCTATTATACTCTTTCCGTTCGTCCGTTTGTCTTCCATTTTATTGTCGACCATCTAGTAACAAATGACTTCGCCTTCCTCGATCGACAATCTCCCCGTCGAACTGCTTTCTTATATCTTCATTCTCGGAACATACACAAGCTCTAACGAAAAGCGGTGGTACGAATTCGGCGAGGAATGGGATATCCATCGCTTCCGCACCGACCTGCCAACTACAGTGGCCCAGGTTTGCAGACATTGGCGTCAAGTCGCATTGTCTACGCTGGAGTTGTGGACCAACATCTGCGTAACAAAGGCAGATATTGTCAAGAGCGATGAAGATCCTCGCTATTCAGCGGGACAGTGGCCTGGGGACGCTAGGTCACCCCAGGTCCGTAACAGATACCTCGACACCCGTCGACTAGGACTATACATCTCTAGGTCACAGTCATCACCGATAGACATTCTCATAGATGCCAGGGACCCGCAATGGGACTTCACGGAGCCCGAAGGGTCGGAGGAGTACGTTCACTGACCTTACCTGCGCCACTGAGCCACTCATAATTATTTCATCAGCCAGCTCAATTGGAAGTCCTTCTTACCTGTAGATGCGCGAGGATCCCTAGCGTATCTCTTGAAATACGTCTCCAGATGGCGTTCACTCATCATCCTCAGCGATATATACGCGCCCATGCACGCTATTCTCGACTGCTTGAGCAAGCCTCACTTCATCCAAACGTATTCAGGTGCTTCAAATCTATCGATTATCGTTGCTCCTCTTTTGGAGTCTCTTACATTCATGCGGTGCAATGAGTACGCATGTTACTCGCCGATATTCTATCCGGAGAACATGCGAGACCCGGCTCCATTGCCACTCGTCATCTCGCAGCAGGACGGGAATCTATTCTCGTGTATACCGAGATTAAAGCGACTGCTTTTATCGGGAGTGCACTTAGACTGGTCTCGCCTGCCGCCGCCGCCCGACACCCATATCCCGTCCCCGTGTGCCGCCATCAAGACCCTGGAACTATCTTACCACTGTCGAGACGTCATGCCGAAGCTCCACCAGTTCGTCCGACTGCTGGAAGCATGCCCGCAGTTATCCAAGCTCATCTTACAAGCTAGCGGTCCAATTTGGGACCCAGAAAATATCGAGGACTCGGACATACTGGAATCACGCACCGTAGCACTCAGTAATCTGAGGACCCTATGCGTCGGATACGTGGACTCGCACGTCTCGATGCAAGTGTTGAAGATGCTCGTAGCAAGGGAACTCGAGAATCTGGAGCTGGAGGACGCCGGCCATCCTATCAGTTCTGGCGAAGACGACGCGACAGACCTCATAAACTGGCTCGGAGGTACCAGAGATAATGGGAGCCTTCGCACAGATGCGATACCCTTTCCAGCTCTTGAGCAGCTGAGATTGCGTCGCCTTCAACTGCAGCAATCCGAGCCGCTGGCAAATCTTCTCTCAAAGTTGCGGAACCTGCAAGCCTTATCTATCGACACTATGTCACTACCGGCGATTCAGTCACTAAAGCCACGGTCCAGTCCTCCAGCGGAATCCAGACATATTTGCCCGAACCTCAAGAGGCTTCATGTCACAGGCATTCAGGAGCAGCTTGACGTGGTGGAGGAGATCCTCGCAGATCGAACTGCCGAGGGGCTTTTCCTGGAAGAGACGCGATTGGAACTGTTCGGGCAGGGTAGGGATATAGGACAGGAGTGGGAGGCAGATATGATGGCCCTCAGCATGAGTGTCGGCGGTGATATGGACGTTTTCTTTGATTCTGTCGATATGGGCAGCATGATTCCGAGCGATGAGGATGAGGACGAAGACGAGGATGACGGTGAGCACGCTGGAGAGAACGCGAAGTCGATCAAACCATGGAATGTTTCTCAGTTTTTTGATTCATGCTTCGTTGATAGGATCCGATATGTCGATATAGTCGGTGTCGATGTTGTGCGCTAGTACGGTCGTTCTTGTCAGGGGATGTACCTGTAAGTGATGCTGAGCGTCCAATGTTAATGTATACCTCATTTACGATTCGGCGTGCGGTCCATGTTCGTTCGCACGCGATTAACTCCTCTCAGGCAGTTCCGACATTCGATGGCACGGCATCTCTCAGTTCAACCAACCTCCTGTGTTGCTAAGTCATGAACAGTTTCATGGCCTCAATCCAGGGATTATAAGTAAAAAGCGAGGCGGCACCTGCCGCTGGACCCCGCTAAGAAACGATTGCAGTCGGGAGACGGTCTAGTACTGTTGTCACGGTTTCCATCAGTGCGTACAGTAACAGCACGAGATATGTACGCGGCGTGAGGCCACTGGCCGAGGCAGTCCGGAAGGTGACTGCTGACGAACTTGTTCATGAGAGCTAATTACCACAAATACAACAATGCTGATGGTTGACGGCGCGTGAATGAAGCTACAGATGATGCAGACAAAGCGACCCCAAAAAAACACTCAGGGAAAACAGACTAAACCAGATGAATCCAGACGCAAATTCGACTTCACGGTGGAAAGACACCCATGAGGCCGTTACCATTCGTCGATGGTGAGATGGGAGCGCCATAGACACTGCCTGCCGCAGTGGGTGATTCAGCCATTAATCCGGGGGATGTGAACTCGGCGGGTGAGGAGAATAGCGATGCCATGTCCAGTCCTCCATCATTGAGCAAGGCCATGAAGTCGTTCGGAGACATGGGTATGGACGCATCACTACTTCGCCCAGGCATTGGGTTCAGGAATGTGTAGGGCGACTGCGTGTCCTGTCGCGGTACCGAGGAGCCGACATTTTTCGGAGAGAAAGCATTGGCTATGGCGGTTCCATTTCCAGAGACTCCATCGATGAACATTTCCGATGAGAAGTCCTCGGGACTGTTGTGTTGTGATGGGGTGTCGCTGGAGCTGCCATTCGACCTCACAGTAGACGGAGTCTTCTTCCGTACTGGCCTTATCCAAGGAGGCCGTGTGTTATTGCCTCCCTCTCCTGCTCGAGCTTGAGAGTCCAGAGGGATTTGAGTTACTGGAATGCGTCACGATATATTAGTAAAAGACTTGAGAGCAGGAGCAAGTGTTGCGACGTACATCGACAGAACTCCTCCATAAGATCCCCTGATCGCATTCCGCATACATAGCGCCCACTGAAGCGCCTGAGCAGACCAACGCATGAACGCAAGGCATCCAAAGCACTGCCAACTGATGGTCGCATGGAATCATGATGGCTATTGACCAAAATAGCGACAAGCGTCCTCCCAGCCTGCGTGAGCTGGTGGATAACATGGACACCATCTGGGACCTGTGTGAGAGAAACGTATTGACGGAGGACGCAGGAATAACGGCGTACAGTATGTCATCAGGCCTTTTGTAGCAACGTGCAGGTGTGCCGAAACAATCTGCAGAGCACACGCATGGGCTGCTCGCATCGCCTCGAGCTCTTCCTCGTTCTGTTCTTCGTCAGACCCATTGTACGTCCGCTCCGCCACACGCTCCGAGAACCGATGCCGGTGGATCAACATGCGGATGAACTGCTCGATACAGTGCAGCCGTTCCGCCTGTGTTACACGGATCACATCGTCGCTCGCCATCGTCTCCACGGAGTGCGCCCAATGAGGTGGAACATTCCGGCAAATCTCGTCCAGCAGCGCCTCCTCATCCCGCATGTCCCGTGGTCGCTTGAACCCGGATAATATGGACGTCACTCGGGACATGAACGCGCATTGTTCTCCGAATTTGTGAGACGGGGGCGCGTCAAGCACAGACTCCAGGACGATGAACATCTGGATGATGCTACCGAAGGCGCTCATGCGGGGTTCGACGTCTGGGGGCTGCACGCCGATGCCTTCCCGGGTGATGTATTCGTCGTCCACTTTTGCGGGGGCCGATACGTCGCAATCCCTGAGTCTGATCATGGGCGGACGGCCGAAGTGTGCGCACGCTTGTTTATCCCATAAATATACGCTCCAGAACGTGCGTTTTCGCACTTCCTCCTCCACAGGATCGAAGATATCGTAGGCATCAGCAGAGCGGTGCAGACCAGCGTCGATGGAGAGGGTAATCGACTCGGCAAGCAATGCGAACGCCCTGGACAGCTTTCCAAGCCCGACAGCGTACACCCCAGCAACTAGAACGGCCTGAATGGTGTAAAGTGTCGGTCGGTCGGCTGTTGGTAGCGTCCGTAGCCGGGCAAATAACTCAAACCATTGAACACCGGCGGAGACGCCATCGTTGGGGTCAGCTCGGACACGCGGGTCATCAATATGTCGAGACGACAGGCAGCATATAGCTACAATGAAGGCCGCGAAGCCGGGCTCGCCCCATTTTTGAGGATTACCGTAATCCTTCGGCGACCCAAGTCAATGGACCAAACACAATAAGAAGAATCAGCTGACTTACCGAAAGGAATGTTGGCACATGCAAAAAGGGGAGCAGATAATAGGACGTGGATAGATAGCACTGTACAAGGCTGTAATGCAGAAGTGATAAGGCCAATATCGTGACGAGACATCCACAATACCGACCTGTCCATGAGGTCCGGAGATATGATAGAAGTGATAAGTTTCCATAGCATCTCAGGATTGATATCCGTCCTCCGAGGAGTTCGGTCAGGGAACCAATCCTCCGTCGTGATATGGTCCTTCCGGTCACTCCATGACGCTTGAGGACTCGCCTCTCGTTCTTCCCGCCGCACCGCTGCCGCACTACGATCAACAAGCAGGTCAAGAAGAGGCATACCCGAAGTTTCTCCCTGCCACCGCGTATATCCTTCATCGTCCAGATAGAGATACGAAGGTGATAGAGACATTCGAGCGGTCTCCTCAACTAGGTCATCAGTTGATGTCACGGTGCTCGCCCTTGCGCGTTGTTGAGGCGTATGTCCTAGTAAAGAGCCAAGGGAGTCATTCGGACTTGACTGTCTGGAACCCGACCGCCCGCGCATGAAGTGAGTAGACGGATTAGTGAGAGGAAACGCATTAGGGGGGACGCCGGAGGGATAAGTATGAGTGGATGAAGCAAAAGAGGTATGCGGGCTATTTCGGGGATCGGGGGGAGGTGTTTGGGAGGATGAGGCAGCCATTGCGGCAGCAAAGACAGACGGCGGGATTGCCTGTATCAGACTCTCCAAGTGGTGCATCCTATCCTCCAGGGTCGCAGTCCTCCTACCAGACCGTCAGAGCTATAATCTCATGCGAGATGGAAAGTGCGCACTTGGACTTGTGAGGGTGACTTCTCTTCCCCGGCTCCTCGAAAGTGCAAGCAGAGTTTGAGTTAAGACATGCTTGACATGGATGTCCCTCGTCACATTTGATCCTCCGGCGACTGCAGAATCCTCTGCGTTAACTCTTTGCAAGCTGAGTCACTGAAAGGCGCTCAGCTCACCGACATCGGTCGCAGGCCCTATTTTATGCACCTTTATTAATACTGTCTTGGTGAGACTCTAGAGGGGTTCTTACGAACCTGCTAAGCTTGAAGCGCCGTTCCTTCAAGACCGACGTCGAAGGCTTTTCTGCAGCGGGTTCCTCTGACATGGGAGTCGAAAGTATCGGTGCTCTGACCCGACTCACGGCGTTTCTTGGTTAGTCATGCGAGCAGCAAAGCCACCGACCTTATAAGGAGCTGTCGAAGTCAAGTGTTCTCAAGCCCCAATCTCGTCGGGCTCAAGATACTCCGCTGTGCCGACCGCCGCGGCAGCGCGCCCCCGTCGTCGACAAGGAGCTCAGATGGCGGCCAGCAAGCGGCCACGGCTTACCATCCTTCTTGTTCAGAGAGTACTTCCAACGGTTCTGCGAGCAACCTGCGAGGAGTATATTGCGACTGGGTATACATATGTGACTTTTGAACGCGAATAGCAACTATATGACTCTAGTCCAAACCAATAATAATAATGCAGATAATCTGGATAGGGTTTCCAAGCGGGAGTAAGCGTAAGGTGTGATATAAACGAAAGCAAGTGAATGAGTAACCGGTATAGCACCGCAAGATAAAGGTAGTACAAGACAGAATTTCCATCCAGCCCAAGTCGCGAGAACACCCCGCGAGACATAACAGTACAATTACAATGCTCGTGGACCGCTGTACGAATACGCACTGGCTCGTCGGTCGTGCCCATCATCCGCGAACTCCTCGGGGGCAGTGGCGTATGAGGCTTCGCTGAGGCCCCGTGATGGATCCTCATGGCCTGCTGGATATGGTTGGAGTCGCCCATCATCTGCTGGGGGACTTCTAACCCGCATCTCAAACGACTCAGCGCTCGGGGTGCCGTAACCAGGAGAGTTAGGCACTTGCAAAGTTTGATGTGACGGTGTACTCGGGCCTGATCGTCCGGAGGCTCCAAAAGAAGTGGGTGAGAAAGAGGACTGTGGCAATGGGCTGGTGGTGTTGGAAAGATATCCATACTTCGGTGAAGGGAGTGGTGAGGGAGCAGGGATATCTGAGGCGGAATAATAGGATGCTCGCCATGACGCGGGTGATCCTCGACCCCAACTACCCGAAGACGGTGGCGTCTGCAGGTACTCTTGATCTCTAAATCGAGGTTGAGGAGCCTCATACTGCATCTGTTGCTCCAAGTCCGCATACTGTGGCGCTGGCGAATCCTGAGTTGTCAAGGGGGGCGTGTCGATATAGCCAGCCGTTCTCGGTGCAGAGATGCCTCGGTCGCCGGGGCTTCTTGTCAAAGCCGGCTCGTAGTCTTGGTTGATTGCGGAGAACTCGGACTCTGAGCGGCTGTGTGGCTTGAGGAACATGGGCGTAGCTTCCAGTTCGCTCTTCTTCAAGTCGCGATGGTGCTTGATACCCAGTCGTTCCTTGAGGTCCCCTTTCACCCACATCTCGCGGACAATGTCCTTATCCAACGGCCAATATGTCGTGGCTATGAACTTCACCAGGAACCGAGGGGCTGGATTAACACCTGTCAGGTCAAATTCTACACCGATGATTACACCGACACTTACCTAGTGCAACAACCACAGCCACTACTACCGACGCCCAGAACACGATGTTACCGAACAGCACAACCACCTCGTCGTTGAAATCAGGACTGTCGAAGAAGGAGTATATGATGATCCATGCCATCATGGCCAGAGAGGACCCGATGTTCACGATCCAGGTAATCACTGTCCAGCTGTTCCTCACTATTAGTCCAAATCGCTGTTCATGATGAACGAGCAGCACATACTAGTTCGTGTTGATCCCCACGTAAGTATTAGCGGCGAAGATAGCCGCTACAGAGACCGTTGTCCCAAAGTCTGCCAGGGAGTCGATTCCCTTCCCGTTCCATGACACTGGAGAACCAAAGTACCACACGCAAAACGGTATGAAATACACCACCGCAGATTGATAAAGTCCGTCTAGCATGTAAAGCCAGAACTTCGTGCGGGTATACTCCAAGCCTCGTATGCCTCTCACGTATAATTGGGGGAACGCAAGAGCGGCCTTAGCATTGATATCCTGGTCGAATGCTATGACAATCGTAAGTTTCACTTCGGCCTGCCGAAGAAATGAATAGCGTACCTCCCATAACGATGACAGGCAGGGACGTGAAGGCAAGGTTGTATAGGATGATAAAGGTGTACTGATACAGATAAGTCGCGTCGAAACTGTAGAAGGAATGTAAGGATTGAACGTCATAGATCACCACTTGTACGAACCTATTCCAAGGAAGGTACCAGAACATGGCGAATGTCCAAATCACGTTCTATAGCGAGAGTGAGTGGGATGATATCGTGAAAAGCGTTGCAAGACGCACCTTGTAAAAGAAATTGCTATGCATATCAGCAATCCTCTGATACGACCACCTTCCATGAACAAGAAGAAGCTTGGTAAGGAATCGGAACTGCCCAAAGGCGTAGTCGGCAGACATGGCAGCCTGTGAGCCTTCCAGCCCGAACAGGCCACATCCAATGTTAGCTTCTTGAATCATGGCGACATCATTTGCACCATCCCCGATGGAAAGCGTCATGGCATTTCGACCCTCTTTGACCTATGGTAATGGTTAACATGTCCTTCAGCACCCGCTGAAGGTACTGAACTCACCAGCTTGACAGTCAGAGCCTTCTGAGCTGGTGATACACGGCAGCATACGACCGTTTCGCATTGGGTCCCCAGATTCAGGAACAGAGGCTTCAAAGCCGGATCGAGGGCGAAACGTAAAGTATCACCATCTATGACAACGGCAAATGAGGCTTTGGTCGTTCCCTGGATGAAACCTCGCTTCTGAGGGTTCCAAGAAGGAGGACCAAGGATGGAAGCGATCTTGTTCAGCCCCGCTTCAATTTGCAAGCGAGCCGAATCAGCAGAGTCAGCAGATAAAATCATGATTTCCATGTCGTTCTTGAGCAGATTACAACTGAATCCTGTATGGGCAATATGTTTGAATATGCGACACTTGAACATCATAGCAGGACCTACCAATCTCGATGGCCGTCTGAACTTTATCACCTGTAAGAATCCATAACTTAATGCCAGCACGATGAAGTGTTTCGATCGCTTCCGGCACCCCTTCTTGTAGTTTGTCTTCCAGCGCAGTCGCTCCCAGGATTGTTAAAGAATGCTCGATCAGCTCACTGGCCTTGTCCATCTCCTCATCACGATCCTTAATAGCCTGAGAAGCAGCGTCATACGTGCGCGACCACTGCAGATATTCATCTTCCGTGAGGTACCGGTACGCTATACACAGCGTTCGTAGACCGCCGTTTGCGAAAGCCTCCATGTCCTTTTGAGTCTGCTCTTTCAGCCAAGGGTCGTGATCTTTGTCTAGCCGCTCGTAGATGACGCTGTCGGCCCCTTTGCAGTATAGGACAATTCTGCCTTCAGGATTCCGAACGATAACGCTCATCCGCTTCCTTGTACTATTAAACTCAATGGTCTTGAGAGGGATGTGACGTTCAGCCTGACCCATAACCTCAATGTCGATGGAATCCTTCGCTCTAGAAACGAAGGGGAAGCCGACATCGCGAGCGGCAGCAACAAGTGCTGCTTCGTCAGGAGATTCAGCCTTGTACTCTGTGAGGAAAGGGTTCGAGTTAGGCTCGGGACGATCAGCCAGGACGCTGTGACAGATTGCCAAAGCACGGAAGAATGCGATGATGCGCTGTCTCTGTTCGCCCGATCTATCCGTCATGTCCTGCGCAAGATGGGGAGAGATGAGAGTCAACTTGTCCACCCTTCCGTACCGGTTCTTGAAAGCCCGCTGCAGCATCTCCACCATCCGGTCCTTCATCACGACCAGATTCTGCTGAAGTTCTTCCGGATCAATGTCCTCGGCCCCCTGCCTCTTCGCTGCACCGCGCTGCGCTTCTGTGACACCCTCGCCGTACGCCACGCCATAGATGGAGCATTTCTGAAACTCCATGACGTTCTGCGTGAGCGTGCCTGTCTTGTCAGAGAAGATATACTCGATCTGCCCAAGGTCATCGGAGATATTCCAAGTCTTCGGTACGCAGGCGGTATCGAAAGGCTTGTAGTACATGTCTATGTCTTGAGAGATGAAGAACGCCTGGATGGTCTTGACAATCTCGATTGAGATGTACAGCGAGATGGGCACGATGTTTTGGAATGCAATCAGGCAAGACCTGGGACGACTATATCAGCTTCACATAATCTGAACAAGCTTCAAAGACTTACACAAACGTCACCAGCGCGTTCAGGACATATGAGCTGGTGGGATCAGCTCCGACCTCGAAGACATCCGCACTTGTCCCTGCCTGCGAATCCATTAAACCGCTGACGACGGCTGTGACGGCACACATCACAATGAGCACGACGAAGTTCATAATGACATTGAAGTTCGTCTCTTTCTCGATCTTCGAGCGCTTCGATGGCGTCTCACCGCCATTGAGCATGATCTTCGTGTCTGCGCCCGTGAAGACGACCAAGCCGATGACCCAGGTGGTGTTACGAAGTGTGCAACCACGGAGGAGAAACTCATTAATCGTGACAGACTCCTGCTTCTGCTCACCGTTACTAGGATCCTTGTACTTTAAGATACCGTGATATAGGTAAAGGTTCTGGTGCGGAGGCTCTGAGTCGAGGATAAAGGATGACCGCTCGATATCTTCCTCGGAAGTGATAGAAGACGTGGCTTGGACGGCTTTACGGGGTTTCAGGTTGGTCTCGCCGTCGAGATTCTTGGTCTCGAGATAGCACATGCCGTCGGCGTCAGAGGTAGACAACACGACAAGGTCGGCAGGCACTTGCTCGTTGTCCCGCAGGAGGACAATGTCGCCGACTTCAAGCTTCTTCCAGAGCGTCCGCTCCCACCGCGACGAGCCTAGGGGACGTTTGCTGTAGTCAACCACCCCGGAGCTTCGGGACTGCTGGTACAAGCTTATAGAATCTGACCGCATACCCATCTCCTTTGCCAACTGCTGCGAGGTGTTGACGAGCGTGGCCTTTGATGGGTCTGCAGAAGAAGCCGGAGGATAGCTATGCGAGTCCACGCTCTGGATGTCCTCCAGACGCCGACCGCCTGCGCCACGCAGCCCGAGAGATACCCGGCTATCGTTCACACCATCCCGGGTAGTGGCGATGCTATTACGGTCGTCACCGTCGCCGGCCTTGCTGAGCAGAATGCGCCCAGCGCTCGCTTCCCTATCGCGCAGCTTGCGCACACCCTTCGTCACAGCACCTGGAGGATTCAGTCCCAGCAGCTTCTCGAACCATGATCGGGGATCGGTTGGCTGGTTCACGTTCCGCCAGTTTTCCAGTTTGGTAGCGGCAGAGTTGTTTACTTCATCATCAAGGGATGCACGACGGTAGTCCTCGATGCCGTCCTTTATCGCTGTCACAGTGATGATGAAAACGAGCGGTAGCATGGACACTTGCGGACTTGCAGCGCCGAAGATCGGAAAGACTGGACCTTGTCAGAGGCACATACAGATTACAACCCACGTACATACCTTGAACCACGACCAATGCCAGAAAGTACAGATTAGCAACCCTGCAGCAGTGATGAGGTAAGGGTTCGAGCGCCGTATCAAGACTACTGACCTTCGAAACTGCTCGTAGAGGTTCTTAGGAACGAATGTAATGATGGTATATTCTGTAGCACGTCAGGACAGAACACCCACATGACGGACATGGCAACGTACTGCTTGTCCGGACTTTATTCCGCACATACGTCTTGACGGGTTCCCCATACTGATCGACCTCCATAGCAGACAGCGGGTGGTTGACGTACACATTCCTCCTCTCTCCAGGAACCTCATGAGATGCGGCACCCGCCTCCGAGGACGCTGTAGTCGGTCTCTTCTTCTCCGAGCTGCCCTTGCGGAAGAACCGCGACCTCTTCGTCCTCACCGACTTTCTCTTCTGCGCCCGACTCTCCGCGCGGATAGACTCAGCAATGGTAGAGGCAGCCGTGCGCACAGTCCGCAGACGCAGCTCTGGGTCAATTTGGGCATCGTTCTCCTCGTCGGTATCATTTCCATCTGGCTGTCGTCGCTTGGCGAACGACATCACGGTCGGTGCAGGTAAGGCCTGAAATCAGAGATATCCTGGGACCGTGGGCCAGCACTGTGCAACCAGGAGGAACAAGAGGAAACGAGCGTATTCCGCTGGGCGCTGCGACGCCGAGCACACCTGCACGGCCTGCACTTGGCTTGTGGCGGCAAGGAAGGGGCAAGACCCCGGCTTTGTTGCGCCGCTGCTTACGTAAGTTTACCTCCGGAGTGATGAGGGTCCCTTCAAAGGTGGTCGCGGTCGCAAATGGCATGTGTTCGGGACCTTCTGATGCATTTGTGGCTGCTGAGAGAGTCAGATATTCACTGCTCCTCTATTGCCCCCTGCTCGACCAGACCAACATTTCCAGAAAATACACAGTTATCACTTCCTCGCGATTCTACTGCAGATTCAACTGCACTGTCATGAACTCGGCATAACCGGTGTTGTCGGCGAAGTAACTTCCGAGCGACTCCCGCTCGGCGCTGCTGACGGCCTATTCTCCTGTTCCGGGATATAATCCATTCAGGAGGGCCACGGTATTTCCGCTGCCGCATTTGACGCGTATGATACATTTTCTGAGCGATCTTGATCACATAGAGTGACTGAGGCTCATCCCAGCCTCACGAGCGATATCGCAAAGACCACGTATGTATGCCTGACTCTCTGAAAGAGCCTACGAGACATTGCTCCGCTCAGTCAGCCTCCTTCATGACTGCTGTGAGGAGCAATGCCTCGTGGGGAACGTTGTCCTGGCCACCAGATCATCAAGAACACGGTGATATGTATGAATAGCAGGATGTGATAATAGCAATATCCATCTGATGTCTGTATACCATGGGGAAGGGCACTTGGTCCATTCTCCAACACAGAAAGATACCGGAGATGCTGTATTCTGAATCCTGGTCTCCCGGTCCTGGGTACAGCATCCTTAGTGGCGACACAAGTTCCATCTACGAGGTCCACAATTCGAACCTGAGCGCAACCCTTCTTGTTCTAGCACTCGCCGATAGTCAGTTCCGTGTCTGTGACGTGGTGCGTATAGGCATCCGTCGTGGTAATGTCCCATCCTACTTACCGAATTGACAAGCAACGTTGCCCTCCTGGGCATTCCCCCGCTCTTGCCTTACGTTCCCCGAAAAAAGGGATCTCATGGGAGTTTGTTCGCAGCTATAGCGACGGACCCTCTAACTTCCCTTACAATCCCGAAAAAATTGAAGCCGCAGTCGAAGTTGACAATCGCAAGAATTACCGCTGGATCTCGTACATGTATATCCACAGCCTCCTGCGCACATGCAATGGACAGCCCTGGACCTTCACCTTGTCAGAATACACAACCTATCATCAATAACTTCTCCTGCCTTTCGATGACCCGGGCGCCAGAAGGTTACACGGATCATATACTACATTACCACACGCGTCGAGAGCAGAGGGATACGCCCATACAAGAATACACATCTAGTAATACAAAGCATTTCGTCCCGGATGAAGAAGCGTAATTCCAATTGGGGTGGGGGTTTAAGGAGTGAGGGTGGGTATCTTCCGGAAGCCAGTTCAGTAACTAGTCATACCCGGGGACGCCCCTCAGCTTCCTGGTGAAGTCCACCAAGTTCTTCAGCTGCTCGAGCGTCAGGAAGATGAGGATGGTCGTGGGCTGCAGCCTCGTCCAAGCGGGCACCCAGCCTTTGAACATGAACATCGGGCCCTCGGTCGCGATTGCGGTTCGTATGGCGGCCATTGTCGACTACGGACGTGGACAGGCGAATGGTCAGAGTGGAACAAGCTCGTGGGAAGGTGATGCTTACTGATGAACCCGGTCCAGAAGCATTCATGATGCGGCTCTGCGTATGGCGTCAGTTGCTCCCTTCTCTCGTCCTAAGAGTAATGACAGACCTTCAATACGTCAGCGGGTGAACAGACTGTAGTAGCCACAGTGCCCTGAAGAGTCCGGCTTAGGAAATTCACAGAGCACAATGAACGATATCACGCACAGCACCGAAACTAGCCGTGAAGTGACAATAGATATTGTCATCAAAATACCCAGTCTTCAGCAGTTCAGCCTTGAAGAAGTCATATCTACAGCCAAGTTCGTAAGATCTCCCAAGGACAGGAATGTTGGGGGACTTACGACGCAAGTTGACTCGCGTTCATGAGGATAGCCCTGAATACGTTCGGGCCCATCCCTCGTGCTAACGAGGAGACACCCTCTTCTCGGACCATCTGTCGCAGTGGTCCGTAGTTTTATTTTGGTGTTCGCTAGACTGTGTTTTCGTGAATTACTCACGCGGAATAAACCATCGAAACAGTGCTTGTAATTAAGCCTCTTCTCTGGCGGCTTCGCCATGTCCGCCTGCATGCGCACCATGATGATTTCACCAGGGTTACCGACGAGTCCCGCGATACCGCCGGCTGTAGCATCGCTGTCAGAATGAATTGACGGTGACAAGTGAGAGTGCGTACCCATTGATCCGGCGGCTGCTAGTTTCCATGCAGGCGAGTCCTTCCCTAAAATTCACAGAATAGGGCTATAATGACAACGGGTGATGCGGACTTCACTCCTACCTGCACCGATCAACTTCTTGCTCTCATCGTATGCCCAGAACCGACAGAGCGAGTAACTCATTTGTCGCATCCATGTTCCAGAGATACCGTCGAAAAGCCCACGCGCACCTTACGCAAGGAGAGATTAGATGAGTATGTGGACATCTTTGCAAGGACGGAAGCAATGTGAGATTACAGAGATTTCGGACGGCAACCGTGGTTTGCAGTCAGAAACGCCCGATCAAACGCCGTCTACTCCCGCTAGCGCCCGTATATAACGCCAGGACATTGAACGAAAGCATACCTGCAGTTCTGACTGTCTTTCGGATCGACTCTATCATGCGCTTATCTCCAGAGGCTTGTAAGCGCACTTTCGTCAGATCCAGCGGGCTGTCAGATCTCCAATCAAGACCTGTCCTCGATGGCAGACATGGCACTGGACGTACTGCGTGATCGATGCTGCTATCGTCGCTGCCACACCTGCAATACATCGTCACACAAACGTTCAGAAGGCAAACAAGCAACCTTCGACTGGATACACACCGCCCAGCCAGAATGGATACGGTGGCTTCTTGGGTGGCGGGAGACCCGTCACCGACCCCGCCTCCGGTATCGGCTTCGTCGACGCTGTCTCTATCTGTTTCGACATCTCTAGCAAGCGGTGGGCGGCGAGAGTAGCAGGTGAGCAGGTCGTCTATTGAACGAACGCAGGGCTTGTCGTATGCGCGAATGCTAACTGCCCTATATAAGGGACGGTCCTGAGAGGGTGGAACCGGCAAGGCCTACACGATCAACGACAGGATATTCGGATATGCTGCCTGACCAAGAAAGAATCATGGACGCATTTGTGACACGAGTCCTTCAGAATGAATAGCCTGGCTATATCGGGGTAGCATGCTCCTCCAATACTGTCTTATGACCAGCACTTCGCCCGCACCCTCCCGACCGGCGCCCCGCCTTCCTCGAATTCGGAACTCTGCCAGAGTACGTCCCACTTATTCCGTTGAATGTTGCGAGCTCGTGTGAGGTTGATAGCGCTGGGGTAAGAGACAGCATTGAAGGACGCAAAGGAATCCCTGGAACCTGAGAACGATTACCAGGGGTGGAGGATGAATTGCCTTATTTGGCTGCGGTGGCTGAGACTCGCTCGGAGTCGCTCCTGTTTCTGACTGTCCAACCTCTCACAGCGTCTTTGCCTCGTAATCGTTCAGGCTAATCTCTACAGCTGTTTTGTTGCCTAGTGACGTGTTTTACAGCGGACGTGTGTAGTCTCCTTCAAGTTGGAGACCGCGGACTCGGAGCGGGTTTGCTTGCTTGCACCTCCGGAATGTTACGGCAGGGGAGGTCAACTCTACGATAGAAGATCACAATGAGGTCATTATAGGTTCCTTCTATGTATCTGAACTGTTATGAAATCAACTTGCTTTTGCAAGGGTTGCTGGCATGTTGCTGCATCACTTAGCGTCAGCGAACAGCATAAGCCAGACAAGCATGGATACAGCATTGACAAGCGACCGCGTGCCGCTTCAATTGTCATCCGGAACGTCCAAGAGTCCACTGCCCCCCGTCCAAGAAGGCAGAGCAAGGCAAAGATATCGGTATATCAAGCAGTCAGGGCTTCGCAGCAGCACTTAGCATCCGCGAACCGCATACAATTGTGACAGCCTTAGTATATAATATTTGAGCGTACGCATCTTCTGCTGTGGAGTCTAGAGGTGCAAGGGGTTGACCCAGGTAAGAACTCTGCGCTACCTGGCAGGTGGGAAGTGGACGGAAATCAAACGTTGGCCGTCGTACGAAGCAAAGTTCCACCCCACTGGTGAGCAGGTCTCTGCCCGTGCGTCGCTCTGACCACGTACTTACTCAGGAGCAGGTTATGCGCTGCCCGACTGCGCGGATTCGGGAACATCCCCCCCCCCCCCCCCCGAAAAAAAAAAGCATGGTGGGCGACATGCCGGTGAGTATACTCACGTCTTCAAGGCTCTCACTATGGTTATAAGCAGGTTGAACATGTAAGTTACTGGCGCTGGTCGGAAGGACTCAACTACAAGCAGGTCAGTGATGAAAGCGATTCCATCGTCAGCAAACCTGCAGTCCAAATTCAAACTCCCGGAAAGGCCCGGTGCAATGAGTAGCCATAGGACGTGGCTGACCTCACTGTCAGCCGCAACGGTCTGCGTAAATGCTGAATCGATATCCCGCCCTCTATCCACCTGCACGTATCCGCACTGAATTCGCCACTCACCAGTATTTGCGTAGTGCGTCTCGAAGAACGCCTGGTCATGAAGCCCACCACCCCACGACGTCCTTTTACGCCAGTGAAGCGTCTCCTCAACTGTTTCAAGCCCAAGCCTACAGTCAACCTCGGCAAACGTTCCCGCTCTCTCTCCTGCTCGTCCACACACTCTCCATCACCTCTGGCCCGGAAATCCAAAGCGAAAACGAAAGCCAAGCCTAGCAGCATGCTAATGCCCTGCCCCTTCCACCCTACGCCGGTGGTCCAATCCTGCGTCGCAGTAGAAAGCGACTCCCCCATCTCAGGCAGCGTCATAATCACCACGTTCCCAGTGCCGCCCTTCTGTTGCCACGCGCACCTCCACAGCATGGACCGCGAGCAGCTCCGCTCCGTCGCGCAGACTATCAACTCCCGGCTCCCGCTGGCACTCGGCATCGACACCACCGCAAGCAGGACGGACACCCAGATCCGGCGGGACATCGAGGTGTTCGTGGGGCTGCGCAAGCCGGAGGACGACGGGGGCGAGCCGAGGGTGCCTGGCGCACCGAAGGCGATTCGCAGCCGGACGGTGACTATGGGACCGCCTCCTGGCGTACCTCCAAGTGGCTGCAGGAGAAGGCAGCTCGCGAGTCCGAAGAGCCCGCTCGCGGGCAGACGGGGAAGCCGCGCGTTTTCGATGGCGCTGGGATCGCCCATGCTCGACATTCTGGAGGAGGAGGATGATGAGGACGGGACGATGCTTACCATCCACAACCGGAAGTCCGTGAAGAGACGCAAGCTCGGCCTGGAGGACCCGGGCACTCCGACACCCGTGCGGCGTGCGGCGATGAAGCAGCGAGTGGTCAGTCACGGTGGTGGTTCTGTACGACCAAATGTCGCCGGCAGGACAAGGAGCAAGACGGTTCCCGATGTGAGGGCGGAAGCCCAGCCGACGGGGGAACGACCTGTCTTCAAGTTCGATCCGTCGTTCGTCAACTGTGCCCCTAGGTATCGGCCCCGTCGGAGAGCGCAGCAAGAGAAGACCTCGGGGCTGGCCAGTCCTCGCGCGTATACTACGGATAGTCTGTCTGGTCTGGCTTCGCCGCTAGAGTCAGGAAGTTCTTCTCCTGTAGCGTGCTCTACTCCGCATCGCCGGGGGAAACTCGCAGACGCGAGTTTCGATCTGGATGGCATGGAAGATAGCGACTCGGACGAGGAATTCTTCGACAGCTTGTCGGAGCTGTGAACTCTAAGTAGTCGTACGCGTATCTTTTCGTATCGCGTTAATTATCCGTATTTTCTGGGTCATTGGTTCTGGTTCTAGTACTTAGACTGTTCAGTAAGCGGTATAATGTGGGAGCGTGATTTAGAGGTCAATATAAGGATCTTTCTTCGTCCTATTCGCTTCCTGTTAAAGTTTTCCCGAACCTACCGAGGTGTGAGCGGCTGGACATTGGAGAGGGACTTGTAAGTACATGCAGAGTCAGACATTCCATAGTATTAGAAATTGTAAGCCTCTGATAATCACAACACTGGCCTTTACCTTTATCGGTATATTCGCTTCCACATTCGTGCTCTTCGGCTTTAGATTGGGACATATGTCCAAACGCCTGTAGAAGCTCCTTTTCTCCCGCAGCATATAAAGGTGGGCAGGGCCCGCTCATCCCGTTCTTTGCCCTCCTCCCCCTCAACCACCACCGACGCCTTCCAGCTGACTGTCTTTCAGATTGAGCATGTCATCCATACGCGAAAAAGAACCAAAACAGGCTCGCAAGTACTCAGGGCTCAGCATCCGTGTCCGTATCCTAGAAACTTGGAAGTGCCTTGACTTTGCTTCAAAGAAACTTGACGCGACGCGGTCACGTAAGGCAGGCTGTGCGTATGACGACACGCGTTATTTACGCGTTGTGTGTCGCTGATTTTGTTTCCGTCTTGTTCATTTATACCCTATCGGGTAGCGCGCCCACAGAACCAAACGCCTCGTGTTGATAATGGTTCGAATCGGCGGTGCTCGTCCTCCGTCTCTCGCGTTCTTCGCGTCGGTGCAGCGTAGACAGTCTGTGATCACTGGCAGCAGACCAAGGTTGTTGACGTCGACGATACAAGACGTTCTCCACGGTCTGCCGTCGGACAAGCGCCTTTGCGGAACCACAAGGTGCGTAGGACTACACGTATGCAGCGCTCGTCGTGTCTGACCCGTAGGAGCAGACTTTGCGTAGGCCTTTCAGCGCACCGGAAGATCCAAGCCATTGCAGTAACGCCAGAACACGGCTTTCCTCAAGACACGACACGTACTTCAGCAAGAAAATCAATCGAAAACCCACACATATACGATTCACGACGGCCCACGATTTATCCAGCACGAATACGCGACACGCGCTCGCGAACCCTTTCTGATTCTACGACACTTTGTCTCTTACGATTTCACGAATTGCACATATTTCTGATCTTCATTTGTTGTATTAACGAAATTTTTACGCTTTTCATTGCTCAAGCACGATTGCAACGACCATGATGCGCAGTACGCTTCTGGCTCGCAATCCGGACCTCAACTCTTTCCGTGGCCGTCCGAAACCGTCGTCTTCAAGTTCACATTCACCCGCAAATGCATCGACTCCGCCTCAGCCCTCCCGTATCCCCACTATCCGTCTCGTCGAGGCAACCCCGTCTGCGGCGGGGAACACCTCGCAAGTCAACTCCTCCTTCAACAGCTTCAACGGATCTGTCGTCACGGTGCCCTCGCCTCTGGCACCACGTCACGAGAACGAGGGACCTCGACGACGACTGATTCCGAAGAAGTCAAAGTTGGGGCTACTAGGATCAACTAGCGGGAAGCCCAAGGAGAAAGGGAAGGACCTCTCCGACGTCGTGAGACGTGTGGGAGGGTCTGCCTCCACGGGTCGGGGCGGGTTCGAAATATACGTGGATCCGACTGAGGATCCCGACTTTGATGATATTGTCGTGGTGAAGAAGAAGAAATCCAGGGCGGCTTTGGATGGTATTACCTGGGGCCTCGGTACGCTAGGAGACGTTACGAATACGACTCAAACAGGTGGTGCAGCGAAGGTGAAGGATGAGAGGGGCGAGAAGGACAAATGGTGGACGATTGGGAGGGGACGCAAAGACTCCAAGGAGAAGCCCAAGGGTAAAGAGCCCCAGACCGTCAAGCCTCGGTCCAAGAGTAAGGACCGCTTCAATTGGTATTTTTCTTAACTCACGTGCTTCCGTAGCTCCCGAGCCGGCAAGGCCGCTCGCGTTCCAGGATTCGAGAGCTCGATTCAATTCGCTGGACTCAGGAATACTGCTCGCTACTCCTACTACCGCACAGCATGCAGGTACGATCTCGGGGTTGCCGAGCGCTCCAGTCCATAATCCAGCTCATAATCCAGCTCCGCTACATGGTTCGACACCGCCGTTTTCATCCCTGAGGCCAGAGGCTCCCAGCCCAACATTATTGGCCCCGCCGGATGCGAACGCACAGAACACGGGGTCCATTGCCATCCGCGCCATGCGATCGATGAGGTCCATGGCGAGAATAGGAAGCTGGGCGCAACTGAAGAATCCCGAAAACCAAGGGTCCATGAGAGGCAAGTCCAAGTCCACCAAGGAGGCGGAGAAGGAGGCGAAGACGGAGACGAAGAAAAAGAAGAAAAAGGAGAAAGTGGAGAAGAAGGAAGAAAAGCAACGGACCATCAAGACGTCGACGAGCAGTTTCGAGGCCGGCGCGTTGAGCGCGTCGCCCGCGGCTGCGCAGTCGCTGGGGAAGAAGAAGAGCATGCTTGGGCTCGGATGGCCGTCGACGATGCGCCTTGGAATGACGAGGAGTAACTCGTCATCGACGTCCATCGTGTCGGCGCAGAACCAGAATCGCCTGTCCGTTGGGTCGTCCATCAATTTGCATACTACGGGCCGCAATCGTGCGCCGTCTACACTCTCGAACGGGTCTTCGCTGCGGCCCCTGTCGACATCCTCCGAAAGGACCGGCAAGTCCTCGTCCGGCTCAATGATCTCGGTGAAGTGGGACGAGCAGGTATTGGAGACTGTCAAGGAGAGGACGAAGAAAGAGCGGCAAGTCAAACGCCAGGCGTCAGCTACGTTGAATGAGCAAACTCGGAAGACAAGCGCAGGTAGTGAGAAGGAGAGTCGAAGGAGCTCCGCGTCTAGGAGGCGCCCGCGTGTGACGGAACTGTTCCAGGACGCGCTGCCCGAAGCTCCGGAAGCTCCGGAAGCCTCTTCTCCAAGGTCTCCCTTGCTGACCCTGGAGGAGGCTACGGAAGACGGGCATCATGACGAGCTGCACCAGGTCCCTTTGGAGACGCCTATTAAAGCCGCTCGTGCCAGGCCAGTTTCTGAACAGCTGCTGGGGCAAACAAAGCAATCGAGGCCTACCCCGATCTACGATGATGGGGATGGTCTGTATTTCCAGTTTTGCCATGCACTCTGCCTTTCTAATTACTTGCCCTTCAGGTTATATCTCTCTTCTGGACGCCGCAACCAATGATTTGGCGTCCTTGATTGATCGCTTGGACCTGCAGGCGACACCAAAGAGTATGGACACGTCTCCAATCAAGCGTTCTTTGTCCAGCTCAGTACCCATGCCTCGTCCCAAGGAACCTCAGGAGGACGGAAGTCCTATTAAGAAGAGAATGGACATGGAGAATACCCAGCAGCAACCCTTGTTGAGGTCCAGCATGGCGTCCATTCAGTCAATTCGGCCATACGCGCAATCTAGGGGCAGGAACTCTATACCTGCTCCCGCACAGATAATCGGTCAACAGATTGCTCCGTGGCCCATCTCGCCCGGCAAGCCGAAGCGTAAGGACGCTCGTTCAGACCAGGACAGGAACGCGCCGGTTGCTCCGACGCTACGTCGCAGTCACAAGAGGACAGAAAGCGGGACGCCGGTTCCTGCTCCCGACCTTCCAGTGTTCCAGCCTCTGAGGCCACCTCATTCGAAGGTGCCCTCGGCCTCCATGCGAGTGATATCGACCATAGAGGATACAGAATCGCCGGAAGTAGCTCGCACACCTGCTGTGGATCACAGTGAGCAGGTTGTGGCGTCTTCGCTTACCTTCGGCTCGAGACCGTCGAAGACGGGTCGTTCTGGCTCCAACAATGGTGAGAGGGACCGGTCGCCTACCCCCGCCTCGAGGCGTTCCTTCCGGCAAGCTTCGCGTGACCGCCTCAACGAGAGCATGCCTATTCCCCGCGAGGCTCGTAGGGGTCTTGGCCTTATGGGTACTATGGGAGGCTCTACTACTAGCACAATGGATGTCGACCCAGAGGATCCTGACTCCGACATCCCTGACGAACTCCAAATTCTCCTTGCTGGTAACTATGAGAGCGACGAGAATGACACAGTGCCATTCCCCATCAATGTCTCTCAGGATCTGCCGCCTTCCCCTGGTCTTCCTCCGGAGAGTCCGCTGCCCGAGCCGACTCCCAGACTGTCATTGGAGCTTAACTTCGACGCTCCGGTTTTCCGCGCTTTACTCAATGACGAGGAGGGTAACCAAGCTGATATTGACGAAGGCGGCGTGTCCTCTCCCGGGGAGGATGACACCAACAAGTCATTTGACTTTACAGGTGAACTGAAGAAGCTGAATGAATCCGGTGGCTCAGACCGACGCAGCTTCATCGAGCAGCTTGAGAGTGCCTTCCGTACGCCAGCTCAGTTCGATTTGCGATACGATGTCGGTGATCGCTTGGAAGTTGGACTTGATCAGCGCTTTGCTGACGTTCCACCCATACCGGCACTTCCTGTTCCCCTCCGGCCTGCAGAGGATGATTCGCAGCGTTCAATAAGCCATGAAGTAGGCCAGGAAGCTGTTGCCGACAGCAGGTCCACAGAAAACCCGCGGCTGGGAAGTCCAGCTCCTTCATTGGACTGGATGGCTCCGGAACCTGATATACTGCCCGTGTGTGCACTTGCAGCGGTCAAAACAAGTGACGCTGAGTCGCTCGGTTCGCGACCATCTGATGGCAAGCTGAACAAAGAATTCAAGTTTGGAGGTCTCCCTTCGCCGGAATACCGTGTGTCCCCGAAATCAACATACAGCGAGGAGAGGCCACTCACATTGTCGGACATCATCCCTTCGCCGCGCCACGCTCGTGCTCTATCCAACGGTTCCATTCTGGATGAAGAGAACTCGGTGCTGCAGTCCATATATGCTAAAGCGGCCGAAATCCCGGCGCCGGTCCCCTCCCGTCTATCGACGGGTTCCATTCCCGAGGAAGAGAACTCAGTCTTGAAGTCGATCTTTGCGAAGGCCAGCGATATTCCTGCGCCTTCTCCTCGTTTACGTCTTGACTCCGACACTAGTTCGAAGAGAAGGGCTCGTGATCTGGCACTTTCCAAATTATCTGGTGCTCACTCCAGACAGGTATCCGAGGTCAGCTTTGATGGCTTCGATTCGTTCGATGAGATAAGGCGGGGATTCGAATTCCATCCGAATAACCGTCCGGCTTTCTACCCTCCACCACAAGCTACTTATCGGCGTGGTCACGCACGGGACGAGTCTCTTTTCAGTATCGCCTCAGTATCATCGTATGGCGTTGTCCTCAACTCGGGCGCCCAAGATCCTTTCGAATATGGATTGCCAGGGGTGCTGGCCTCCGATGATGCTTCGTCCATGTCAATGTCTGTCGATGACACATTCTCCTTCCTGAAGCATCAGCCTCAGCGCAAGCGGGTGGACAGCGACACATCGAGCTTTTACTTCAATGCACCGGGAAATCGCAATTCCCAGGTCGCTAGACGTGGTCATCGTCGCCATGAATCCGGCATCTCGGTCACATCAGTTGGTCCTCCCGTCAGCCTCTACAATCGCAGCTTCAAGGCGCATCATCGTACTACTTCAAGCACCAGCGGCAGTTCCATCGCCCACAATTATGCGATGTATGGAGCCAATGGTGGGAGGGTAGCGTGGGCGAGGCACCGTCATGATCCCTCCGTCGACTCTATTCTCAGTGATTTCTCGGCAATGCGCTTAGGGCGCCCCGACCTTGGTGACAAGATGTTCTCTTCTGTTCCTGAACACGGTGTTCCCCTTACTGCCATATCCGCTTCTCCGCCGGAAAGTCGTTATAGCAGAGACGAAAGCCAGTACAGCGGAGATGATGACCAGCGATCTTCCTACGACTCTATTATAGATGAAGATCGGAGAACGTCCGTCCAGGATTCCCTCTTTGAGAAGACAGGATATCGCACGTCTGTCTCGTCGGAGTCTGTTTTCGGGAATGACTACTCTCATCCAATCCAGGGCAGTCTCATGCCTCCTCACTTCCGACCTATCTCCATGTATAGTGAAGTGAGTATTCATAGCCCGGAGAACGAGGATGATACTCTGATCTCGGTAAGTTATAAGTTTCCCCCTCCCTACACTACGTGCTTGACAATCATATAACTTTAGATGCTGGGTGGAGGGCATGTTCGGCGTCAGTCCATAGGGTCCATAATGGAAGCATCCCCATGTGTCAAATTCGGCAAGAAGAAACATGATGGGCTCGATGGCCGGGTGCAGGTGATTGAACGCGAGCTGGCTCCCAAGGCTTCCATGGCTTCGACGTCCTCCCATCAATTCGGTCATCGTAGGATGCAGCAAGCCACTCGTGGGTTGTTAGTTCGACAGAGTCTGGAAGAGAACTGTCTTAGCTCGGATGGTGATAATGACAGCACAACATCCTGTGAGTTCGCATTTGTTCTGACGAAATATCCACTAATTGCTCGCACAGCATGGGTTCAACTGAGCTTCCCTAATCCCGGACGCACCTCGAGGCCTCGCTCCGGTACTTCTGCTACGTATGCCAGCTCGGGTGCTGAGACTCCGCCTCTGTCTTCCGATGGATCGTCTCAGTCTGGTGGTTCTCAATCCAGCATAGATGTCGCTCATCTCAACGCCATGCTGTCCAACGCAACCTACCCCATCACGCACAGACCTGCTCCTCGACAAAGGACGCGGTCTCGAGGCGCTGGTCATCGTCGCCGGATTTCCCAAGCTCGGGCTTCTCGTCATTCGGTTTACTCGGTCTACGAAACAATCCAGGAGGAAATGTCGGGCGCCTCCAGTCCTGCATCACCCGCAAGCCCGGCTTCTATCGACGCGACTGCTGGTTCATTCCCATCTGACTCGATCCTGGTCGTCGACCAAGACATAGCCTCTGGTGAATGGGATGACGAGGGCGGTCCGACAGTCTTGCGGAAGTACTATGCGCTGCGGCACGAGGCCGAGGAAACAGTCGAGGAGAGCAAGCGGGTCTGGTCTGACACGCCATTCTCGCTCTTCGCTGTGCAATGTAAGTGGATTGTTATAGATACAGATCGCGTTCTCTAATCCAGTGCATAGCTTTCCAGCCTCCCCGGCGTCCAGAGGGTATGAAGGCGCTGCTCGAGCACTCTCAGAACAACTACGGCCCGCTGCCGTCTGAGCTCCGCCCCCGTCGCATCCGTTCGCGCGTCAACTCGCGGCCGTCACCGTATCCTCGCGCCAGTCCCAGCTTCTCGGTCTCGCCAGACGAGGTTCGGTTTATCCATATGGAACACGAACAAGGACAAGGCCAGACCCCGGAGAACGCCCGTCCCTCGGTCCTCCAGGACGTGTCTGTCAACCCGAACGTCCTGTCTCCGCCGCCGGCTCTGGAGGCTATCAAGGCTGTCTCGCCTCTGGGACTCAAATTCGACAAGTCGCAGGGCGAGGACTCGATGAACCTCCCGCAAGCGCCCCGGCCGCGCGTCACGTCCAGTACGCGTCGCGCCGCGCTCGGCTGGTCGAAACGCGGGGCGGCGCCAAAGTCGAAGGCTAACAAGGAAAATTCTATTATGAACGAGAGCTTGGTGATGAGGTGGGTCCCCCTGGAGTGAATTGCGCTCGCTGGATCACTGACGGTTACTCTACCTCTGACAGTGCACCCCAATCGCTGAGGATAAACCGCCCGCGTCCGCGCGGTCGTCCTACGCCTGCACGTCGTTAAACCATGTCTCTCTGGTCCCGCACTGCTGCTTATGTCTATGGCCGACGTCTGCTCATCTATGCCCATCTCGCTCGATCTCGATATCTCTGCAAATTCAACTCCTACTCCGAACCCAAATCGCATCTCGCATATGGCATCCAACTCGCACTTGCAAACCCATTCGCATCTTCGGCGCATTACACCACTCACGTTGTACGAAAGCACGCATCATCATCATTGCAACGAATAGACGTGAGCTTTCCGAGGTTCTTTGTGTATAGATTGATGTGTTTCGAGCATTTGCTTCTGCTAGTCAAGTTGCCTCGCTCTGTTTCTTGCTGTGTCCCCGGGCCCTGGTGGCCTTGGGTGCTGTCGATAATGATAAGTGACAACAAAGTCAGATGAATGTTGTAGCTTCAACCAGTCGCTGTCGTTGCGCCTGGCGCTTTGGGCTCTTTTGCCGGGTGCACGATGTGTTGTTACCTCGTAGATCGAGTGTGAAAATGTTACAACTATGCTGTCTTCGTAAAGTGCGATGCGAAGTAAGGATGGATTGTCATGAAAGAAAATTAGGTGTAGGTAAGTACAGTGACTCGGACAATGAGGGTGGGCAACGTCTGCCAGCCAAATGTCCGTGTGACCGTGATTGGAATCTCTCTCCATAACCTACGGCGTACCCTTCGCTCTCCTACTATGGTCGTACGTCCGCGTACTGTTTCACTTCATTCTACCCAAGCGACTGACACTGAATTTGCATCTCTTATTGGCAGGATCACGTCGTTTCTGCTCGCTTTCTCCTTTCCGTGTTTCTCATTGGATTCCACGTTTGCCAGTGATACATTAATCCCCCGACTATCCATGGCGCTGCTCTGGCTCGTCTGTTCACTTCCGCTCATCCGCCACTTCTGGGCGAATGGGATGAATTGGAAATGGAGGGCAGCGCGAAGCAGGCTGGACTGGCGCTGACTTTGGCTGAAAATCATTCAAAATGTCGGCCAGACGGCTTCTATACAAAGCCCGACAGGCGCTTCCAGACAAGAAAAAGGTCGGCCGCTTTCTGCGCCGTAGGAGTCCAGCTTCGCAAGATGACGAAGGAAACCCTGTCGCCTAGCGATGCTTTATAGCCGCGCAAAATCGGCGAGGTGACATGCATGCTCCGTGTATGGACGCGTGGGCTCAGTTAAGAAAGACTCGGATATGCGTACCGCGGGTTGTCCCTGTATAAATATCGCCCAGAAGACGGGTCACTCGTATTGTGGGTTTGGCAAGACTGTTAACTAGGGATGGATGACTACAAGTCTGACGACGTGCATCTGTATCATTGGATTGCACACGACAGCAGTCCTTTACGTATGTGTTCGCCAATAGCCTGGTCAGGCCACTGCCTCCAACCTGGCGGCCTGCCCGGGCCAGATCCCATACCATGGCGCATTGGATATTCCGACACTTCACGGGGACGGCGTATCACACTCTGGCTGCGCAGGCGCACGTCTCGATATCAGAGGCAGTCCCGCACCTGGAAAATGGTCCGAGCCTTCGTGACACACCTCAGTGCTTTGAATTGGCCGGCGCCGAGGCTCGGTCTACCGTTTTGTGACTTACAAACGATCCACATGATTTGGCCCATGCGCGGGCTTGCTCGCTTCCTCCGTTCGAACCCCGCGCTGTGATGCCAGGTAGCGGGTCTGAGTGGGGAGCGAAAGCAGGCCGATTTGAGGTAGGCGGCGCATCCTCGCGTCGACGGGGGGGTTGCGGGTCGCGTGCCTTGGGACGAACTCGGGTGACGGGTCTAATCACCAAATATTGGGATCATCGGGGACACCCGAGCAACGGATTCCGCATAACCACAGAATGCGAGTCGCCATACCAGACTATGCGCTACGAGTGAGGTCATCGCGTTGTGGCCTCCAGGCCACACAAATGCAGACAACGATCACACCAGCGGGTGATAATTCCCGAGTTTACTTTTGTACCTTGCTCCTTGATGAGACGACTTCAGCCCAGCTTCCGCAGCTCCGCGACCCACCAGATCGGCCTGCTCGTCCGCACCCACACGACATCCTCCTCGGGGACGAGGTGGTTCGACGTCGACACCAGGCCGTCGAAGGAAGATTCTTGCTCGGCTGTTCACGTCACGCATACACAATTCAGTGGTAAATCATGTTGTGTTGAGGCTCGAAGGGTGGAGGAAGGGGGAGGAAGGAGAAGGAGGGAGAGACGGCGAAGGAGAGACGTACTCAAGTTCCACTTTAATCCCTTCGTGGAAAGTATGGTCGAGTCGATCCCGACGGGGAGGAGCCCGCACGTCTGGCCCAGGACGACGTGGTTGATGTGAATGAAGTGCTCGCCCTGCAGCGACCGCCCAAGTCAAAATCAGTAAACGCTGACAGGGTACTGCATGAGGCGAGTACGCACCGCATCGAGCACCCAGCCCACATTATCGTCCGTCACGGCGAACACCTGCCTCCTCCTCGTTCGCAGCTTGTGCAGGAGGTGCAGGGTGTGCACTGTCTGGTCGAGCCGGCCCGAGAGCCCGCCGAGGAGGATGATGGCGTGCTGCTCCTACAGGTAAGCGTGAGATACGAGATGAGGCTAGTCAGCGGAATGGGGTGAGAGACGGTAAAGAGGGTAAGGGTGGGGGGATGTACCTCGCTGCCGGAGGACTGTTCGAGCGCTTCGATGCTGGATATGCATTTCATGAGGTCGGTGGAGTATTGGTCTTCGTCTTCGACGACGGACACGCCCTATCAGTGAAGGTTATGCATTGCCTTGGTGCGGCACTAGTAGGCCACGCTCACCTGGGATTCATAATACTCCCTGACTTCACTCCGTATAGAATCCAAGTCGCCCTTGATAAGGTCCGGGAGGTATCTGAAGTCCCGTTAGCCCCTCCCCTCTTTGCCACTTATGTTACATCACTAACGTCCGCTTATCCATCCCCTCGGACCCCAGCAAATCAAACAACCGGTTTGCGCCGCCGTCCGCACAGCACCTCCAACTTGCCGCCGCCCACACGCGCGACAGCAGGGAGGACGAGAAGGGCTGGTTCAGAATTATGAGCGCGTATTTCCCTTGAGCATGTGCTGTATCTTTTTCTGAGACTGGGGTCAGGAAGGGGAGGTGCCAGTGGGACATGGCGAGCTTCAGCGCAGGAGGTGGCGATCGACTCGTCCGAAGAAGCATCGGAGGAAGGCGCACGTGGACGCCACGCGAGACTTGATCGGGCGGAAGAAGTCCTCACTCTCAAGTCCCCTCCTCTCTAACCTCACGATGCCCCGCCGCGCCCCCTCCTCGAGCGACTCCGAGTCGGACAATGACGCACCCGAGTCGCTCACCCTCTCGCAATCCAAGAAGGCCGCGCAGACTCGCGCGCAGGACGTCGAGCGGTTCCGCGCGGCGGAGCAGTGCAGGCGGAAGGACAAGAACAGGGAGCGGGAGCGGAGGATGAAGGAGAGGGCGGGGACGGGGGTTTCTGTCGCACTAGAAGAAGAGGGGGAAGGGATTGAGGAGGAGGAGGATGGAGAGCAGGGAGAGAGGGCGGACCTCGAGGCGAGGATGCAGCGCGCGATGGAGGAAGCCGCTGGCGAGTCCGGCTCCGACCTCGAGGAGGCGGCGGACGAGTTTATGGAAGGCGTCGCCGAGGACGAAGACGAACACTCGATGTCCGACAGCGAAGAACACGACTCTGGCTCTGAATCTGAAGCTGACGGCGGCTCTGGCGTGCCCAAAGGTGAAGATGAAACCGCCGAGCCCCCCGCGAACCGAAATTACCTCCCCGACCACCTCTTCGCCGCCGCCTTCTCCCAGTCCGCATCCGCATCCGCATCCCGGCCCAAAGCCTCAAAAACGAAAACCCAAGCGCGCAACACCCAGCCCAAGCGGCGCAAGACTGCAAACAAAGCAAAGGACACCGTCATCGGGTACGTCCCTCAATCCTCCTACCGCCAGCCGTGCTGAATCCTGTGTGGTATATAGGTCCCGCGCAGTCCGCGTGCTCCCCAAGCCCTCGCAGCAGGCACTCCTCGGCGCATCACACACCGTACCGTCGAAGAAGGTCCAGAAGTTCGTCGACCGCAGTCTGAACCTCAAGGGCCGCAACCCGAGCAAGAAAGGATGGCAGCGCAAACCCGGTGCGTCTCTGTTGAATCATTGAACTCTAGAGAGCGCTGACGCGTGTGTGCGTGGGTCGTGCAGCGAACATAGGCGTACTGAAGCGAACCGGGCCTGCACCCAGTTTCGCCCGGCAATGATCTCTTCATTTACTGTACCGCATATACCTACACCGGCCGGGAATGTCCAAGTAGGCACGGAACCAAAAAATCTGTATACTGTACCTCGGATGACTTTTCCCTTACCAAAGATGACTGAGGGTGATGCGGACGTTACAGCCACCTAGGATCGACGTATGTCACCCCTGGAAGGACGCATGCATAACCCACAGAAATATGGTCGTAAGTATGGGGTGGACGTCAAAACCGCACGCTGAGAGGGGCTCTGGCTTTTCCTACTCCCTCCTCACATAGATTAAGTGTAGCCTTGACTTTGAGCATTGTCAGACCACCTGGCCCAGGTGACCCCTTATACTTGTCCGTGAGGCCTGCGTGAGGGTCGGCAACGCCTGCCAATTTAAAACTCCGCGTCACGCTTCAGCCACTTCAGCTCAATGGCAGGCAAATCGTATGGTGCAAGTTTCTCCACGAGTACTCACTCTAAAATCGCGGATAAATCATGAAATAATCTCTTATGTAGTTTAGAACATGGTCTCTGGCCCACTTTTTGAATTAGGGCCCATGTGAATACGAAACACATGAACTGTGGTCTCTGGAGTGCCAGAAATGACAGTTACAATATGATGAACAGATAAAATAGAAAATCGGGGCCAGAGAACGTGTTTCCATACCATCGAAACAATTTATTCCATTTATTCCGGGATTTAAGGAGTGGTACCGAGCGAGAAAAATGCACCTGACGCCACACAGGCCAGAAATGCTTTCCCGGGATTTGCCGACACGCGTTGAAATGGACGCGTGTATGACGCGTCTTGATAGAACGTGTTACTTCTAACAGCTCGCGCTGCTATTCTGTGAGTCTCTCATGGTTCGGAACTGATTCTCTTGATGGGCAGGCATAGTAAAGGCTTCTCTGCTGCCCAGAAGGCACATCAAGTCAGCAAGAAAGCAGACAAAATTAATGCACTAATAGAGGTAGTCAAAAGATATTCAGAAGGTTATCCTGCTAATGCTATGGCAGCTTCAACAGATCGTATAGAACCAGGGGATGATCAATGAGGACTCAGGTGAAGAGGAATTCTGATTCATGACTAGAATATTGCGCATTTTAGTGGTAAATAAATTATTTTTATTGTATATATTGCATCAGTACTACTGTAGATATTTTACTAGCAGTGTAAAGCATTGAAGTTTGGCTTTTTTGCACAGGAAACAGATCATAAAGTCGAAGCTCAGACTGAGGAGAACGGCTTGTGGCCCGAATTGATGCGCGTGTGTTGAAGACGTCGGCGACCACGAAAATAAGTCCAGATCATCCAGATAATCTAGCTGATAGTCCGGTGAGAAGAGACACTGCGAGGCAGGCTCGTCTAGTCAGGGTCTGACTAGCGCTGAAACGATCGTCTAGTCAGTGGAGGGGCTCTACGCGAGTATTATCCGGTCTTTCAGATCAATTCACCACGTGGGTAGTACAGCTTGCCATGAGGCTCACAAACTGCAATAGTCGATGGTGTATCTAAGATTGGTTAGCTGTAACTAGCTCGACTTGTGGACACAATAACTAGCTCTGGCTACATCTGATAATCTGTACTATGTGTTCCTTGACTAGCTGTGAGTATCTTTACTTTCTACGAGTAGTCATCTCTCCTCTTCCTCATGTATTCAGTTGCTGGATAGGGTATAATCTTATTCTATATTAAAATTGTAATCGTAATTACATAATAAACGCGCTCTATTCTCCTACGGGCGAGGTGGGGCGCGTCCCATGAGTTTCTCGAAGATGGTAGCATGCTTACTGATAAAAAGACGAACATTACATCCCGGACATTCCGCGTCTGCCGGAAGATCCTGAGGGAAAAGACATTGACAATCGGGACATGCAGGGTGGACTTGAAACCTATCCTCGAGTTCGAGATCCCTGACCACTGTCTTATAGCTGACAGGCATCCGATCATCCTCAGAAAGGACCCCCAGACCCAGGAAGATAGCACGGGTCGTGAAGAGGATGATACCGCATGCACGGAATGTCACATGATGGACGGTCTGCAGATATATGACGAGGAGGACTGCATGGACATACCACCTCTTGTTTGATAGACTATATGTGTCTGCCGCAGGCAACATAGGCTCCAGAGGCTTGATGTCAATCAGCGCCAGAGCGGCCGGAGGTACGGCAGTGCGAGGAGCACCACTCTCGTCGCTATCGTCGCCAGAGTCTAGTGTGGTCGCAAGGTCCCCTTGAAGAGCATCACCATCATCAGGGTCGTCGTAGAGTCCGAGCGGAGGGTCATTTGCTGCAGCTGCAGCCTTCTCGGCCAAAGAAAGCACCTCAGTAACGATGCGAGGTTGGCGGGGACATGTTGAACGGCGCAGGGCTGGCAGGCAACCCTCAGGAGCCGAGGAAGCGCCTATGATATTCACGGTCAGTGTATTCGAGGCAGGATTATCTGGCACAGCCTCGGGTGCTGCATGTTTGGGTGAAACTGATGCATCAGGGGAAGACTGGAGGTCACGAGTAAGAGCGGTACGCTCGTCAAACGAGACTGATACTGTTGGAGAACTTGGTAGTCGACGAGATAGGTCAGGACAGGCCGTAGTCGCGAGAGTGGGGGCTGCGAGTGATGGATCAGGGGCAATAAACATCGGGTTTTTTGTGATTGGTGCGCATATATGCTCCTGAACAGGGAATATGCATTCATCGAAGGTAGTAGGACTGGTATTGCCATGAACTCACCAGAGAGTTTGCGTGAGCATCCATATCCACGTCATTACCGGCGTCGACTGGTCCGAAGTCGGTCTCGAACGCGTCCCTCGAGTGATCCATAGGCATATAATCACCGGGAGCTGGTGGACTGTAATGTAGACCAGAGTTACGAGTTTGAGAGAAGAACTCTGCTGTCGTTACATTGGACATCAAGCTGGATGGAGACTCGCCGGGGACTGCGTCTGCTGTCGAGGATGCCTGAGGGTTTGCGCCGCCGCGACCACGACCCCTGACTTTAGACAAGAGAGATGCGACGAAGCCTTTACCGCGACCCCCAAGTGCCGCATGCGATGTTGCAGCGGCCTGCTCTCGTTCATGCTTGTTCTTGATCTGTCGGGGAACCAGCTTACCGCGGCATTCGGAGCAGTGACAGTGCCGCAAGTCGGGCTTAGAAGTTTTGTTGAAGCCTCGCATGTTTGCTCTCTAGATCCAGCAAGCAAGAAGATTAGGTGTACAGAATCAGAGTCTTCATCGGTGCTGAGATGCAGCGGCGTGCGGGTAGGAGGGAGAGGGCAAGTCGGGACTTAGAAGACTTTTGTATCACTTTCTGAACTCAGACGACAAGTTATATATTGGATTGATGTGAATACAGGAGGTATACACGATGCAGGCTAGTCAAGCAAGTTATTTGAAGCGGCTACCGCAGGTGATCAGTCCTAGGCAGATGTAGGCAGAGCTAGTCGTGCTTGAAGCTAAATGAGCTTGACGCGTACAGGACCCCTGAAAATACCGATGGAGGTTAGATACCAATTCCGTAAAAAAGTGAGGTCTGGAGGCCATATGTTAGATATGGTTGCGGTAAAATGTGGCGAAGCACCCAAGAGGCCGGATACTTCAGTCCCGGTAGAATTGAGGCTCGATATCCAAGGTCAGATACCATTGTGGTATATACCCGGCTTCTCCCCGCACTCAATCGCTCGCTTGTGCGGCCACAATTTGCCCCAATAAATATTTGAGCTGAGATTGCACTATTTTGGCAACATTGGGCCTATATATGGCATATTGTAGCGAATAATGCCTTATTTTGATCAAATTTGGCTAAGAAAAACCCTTGTAACCGGATCAAAATTCGGAGCTTGTATATCTGGGTCCCGGTAAATCTCGAGCCACACGGCTAGGTTAGTATCTCGACCCGGTAAAAACAGCCAAATTAGGCGAAATTCGGTCCCGGTAAAAATGAAGGAAATCAGGTTCTCTGGTATCTAACCTCCATTGGTACTTTCAGGGGTCCTACGCGTACGCGACTAGCTCACGTGATCAACCCTAATCCTAAAGCGACTACCTAAGGTAGCCGAGGCGTCCGTCTACATCTGAATTATGTCGCAAGGTCAGCCCTAGTCAGCGCTGGTCGCAACGTGACTATCTAGGTCTGCCGCGCAGTGAGAGAATGTGCAAGTGGACGACAACTCGCCTCCATATTCGCGCGCGACACGATCAGGTGCCGGAGCTGCAGCAAGCTGAGGATGATACTGATGGCACTCGTTAGTGTGGATATATAAATCACGATCTGAGCCGCGCAACGACGGCCGCCGGATCCGACGTCCACGCTCGGATAGCCAAGAATGACATGTCCACAGTCAACATCACAGGACTCTGTTCAGGTCATGTTACGACTCTATCATATGCGCAATGAACAACAAGAAGACGAACCATCAGTAACATGTTACTCCACTCTTGCTGCAGTTGTCCTTTGAATATGTTGAAGGAACCGAGGTCCGCCTGATGGTCGACACAGGCCTTTTACAAGATACGCAAGTACTTCTCCGGCGTGTGGAAGAGGGCGAGGGATGTCAATCGGAAAAATCTTGAACGTCGCACCTCCCCACCATGTACATAGACGCTCTGGCCTGCATTCAAGCGTGCTCCTGGTTGACCGTAGTAATTCTTGAACCTCGCATGCACTATTGGAGGATCGAATTTATGCACTTGATTACCCCAGCTTAGAAATAGATTTACCAAAGGAGTGCATGAGTCTTCCTATACTCGACAAGAACTCTGGTTAATAGGTCATTGACATTACGACACATCACGACTTTGACATACCATTAACACATGCCGCATAGCCATTGACTTCCCTCACGTCTGGTAGTATGTCGATTTCTAAGTCAACGTTCTCGTACCATACGAATGTTCCAAGTAGCCCGCTCACCCGCGACATGTTCAACTATGTCTAATATCTTGCGCGTCTCTTCGTTGCTGAAGGGGGCTGTTCTCGTCACACTTGTCATTGTATCTGTGAAAATGGATGCAGTCCATCACTAGTACTCACGATGATGCCAACTGGCGTACCTATTGAGGCATGGACGAGAATGCCAGTGAGCTCTTTCACATATTCAGGAGGAACAATCCGGGGCTCCGGGAAATATTCGCAATGTCTCCTAGAAAATGGTACATAAACTATAACTGTATCAACGGTGTCAGTGCGTGGATGAGGTCAAGAAACTGAGCAACAAACCTGAAGAGAAATGGAGTATTCACCAGAATTGTGCTTCTAACTCGACACCTGTGCGATGATGCTGTCATGGTTAGTGTGCAATAATGTAAACTGAAGACACTTACGGATATGGCTTTCAGATGTCGCGCCTTGAACGGCATCCAGCATGTCTGCTGCATCATATTTTTCCAGCCATAACAAGGACCTGCTGGGAACATCGACGAAGTAATATTTCCACGACCGAGAGAAAGATTGTTCCAGTACTAGCTCACTATCTGGAGGTCGGACAAAGTCATTTTCCTCACAGAGAGAATCAACTGCGGCTATGCATCCGTTTATACTTGACAGAACTTCGGGCTCTTACAAGTTCGCTTCGGTGAATATTTTCTATGTTGTTGTAAGTCATGGGCTAAACGGTAAGCGCGAGAGGTCCGGTACCTTGTCAGCATGGAAGAAATACAAGGCCCCCTCCGGATGTATGTATGCTTTCCAGCTCTCGGGGACAGCACCTTTGGATGATCTGTAGCAGGCTTGGTCAGCCCTGACGAAGACGTTACAAGGAAGTCCAACCGACAGCATGGACTGCCCACTGCTGGGTGGGATTGTATACTGATAATCTCTGCCTCTCCGAGGTCTGACGAGATTTAGTCAGAGAGCTCTTCAGAGGGACGGTATTTTCACACATTTTGCCACGGTTGTATCTCGCATACGTTAAGCTGGAGGCCGTCATAGGTTTGACCATGACGCGACGGCGGGGATCACACCTGCGGAATAAAACATCATCGGGTTATAAAAGGTGTTTGGGCAGAAGTACCCTGCTCAACGTACCCTTCGAGAGGATTTGCTAGTAATGACCTCAAGAGTCCCGGTTCCTCCGCGCTCTCATGAATCGTGGGGCCTGAACGGCTGGCGTCGCCGGAGATGGTGCGTCACTAGAGCTCACGAATAAAGAAGAGACCCCGGGCACAGAGCTGCAGGACGCAGACCCTTTCGAGGTCCCAACAGAATGGGTTGGCAATGAGGGTAGTGCGACATGATGGTGTGGTGAATCTGTGGTACCACACGCGGATGCTAAGAAAAAGGATTTCTTAGCGCACAAAACGGCCTACCTGGACTATGACCATCCGAGCTGGTCAAGGTTGGGTGCTTTGGGCCCCCGTTTGGGAGCCACTATATAACCAGATGGAGGAGCCATGCCGAGGAATCCAGGAATAGGTGACAGTTAGCATGAAATGTATGAGCGTGTCCTCTCTCACAGTTCTGGCACGCGAAGGGAGCAAGTTGTATTGCGACGATATTTGGGACAAGAATAGGGAACCACGAACACGTTTCGTACCGATGTGGGACGAACGCTCTCCATTGTGATGGACCGCGTGTGTAGATTTGGAGCGGGGGGAGGGGGGCCAATGTACATCCCGGCGTCTATGAGCTCGAATGAACTATCGTGGCACAAATGACGTTCACGGAAATGCGACAGCAAACACAAGGGTCGTAGGTGGGCAATACCCGCACATGTGCGGACTTCAGTATGAATGAATAAACGAGATGCCTGAGATGTCCGGTGTAGGGGCGTACCTGCAGTGATTGTCCCGGCTCCCTGATTTTCAAACTCGAATTAAAACAGATTTCGTACCATTTGGCATCCTTTCAACAGTATAAAGCCCTGGCGGGTGCATTTGAGGCACATTATTTGATGACTTTTCGGGATGCCCCCCCGGCGCCGCCCCTGCCCCACATCTCAAAGTGGGCGGGGCAGACCGGTCGCAAGCCTAAAGGGGGGTAAGCACAGGCAGCAGCTGAACACGTACGTCCTCTCAGGGCATCTTCCATATTTATGCAGCAGAGACTTCGGAATATAGTGGTCAGACAATAACGATCTGGCATACGCGTCGCCGCGCACTTGTCTTCGAGGCGCTCGGTACAAGCTCAAGCAGTACCCTAGATGCAAGAAAGAACTGGAACGCAGGCCCCATGATCAGAGCATCCTGCAAGCTCATCACGCTTCGTGGTGGGGACATTTTTCTCCATACGCCAGGGCACGCTCCACTTCCTCAACCCCTCTGAGGAGGTCGTCCAATCCATGCGACTCGGGCGTGATCCACTTCCGCATAGCCAGCACATGTCTTACTTTCCAGGGCAGGCGGTTGAAGAGCGTCGGCCGGAAGTCCTATGCACAGGGCGGCTCGATCCGGGGATTGGCCCAGTACTCCATGTCTTTTTTCATCTTCCTGACGCCAGAGCGAGTGTAGCGGACCGCTTCGTAGCGGCGGTTTGCCTCGCGAGCACGCGCGCGTCCACAAACGTTTTGTACATGGCAACGTCCAGGCCAGGGAATGACCAGTCCTCAACCTCCTGGTCAATGTCGCTGACGTTCATGTAGTACCATTCAGCAGCGTTGCCATCCAGAAAACGGGACACATAGAGGACCTGCTGCCGGTCTGATTCTCCGCTGGCGATGCCGAGCACGTGGTATTCGTCGAGCAGCTCGTGCAGCCACTTCGCTATGTCGACAACGTCGCGCGTCCGCCCAGAGAAGCGCCGCCGCTCGAGGCGGGTAAGATCTGCTATAATATCCGACGGTGGCGAGGGGAGCGCCCGGCTACGCCGATCGTGGATAATAGCGCGTAGCCGCTTGACGGTTCTTTCTGTGTAACGCTCGAAGGGACTCGAATTCCGGCCGGTGTTGTTTGGGTCGGGGCTACCAGGAAAGGCACCGCCGTTGGGTCGTCCTGCAGCTTGGGGAGCATCCCGGGACCGGGACATGGATGGCTTACTGCCGCGGGATGGAAGTACCGCGTGAAGATCCTCCACTACAACTGTCTGGTGGAGCGTGGTTGTCACTGGCGCGGTTTAACTGCCTATCGAGCTGATACAAGCCAGAACTCGGTTGCGTGTTCATCTGCTCGTCAGCATGCGCTCGCCTGTCCACGGGTGTCTGCGTTTGCGAGGGCTGCGACACGTCGGCGAGCATCAGCCAATGGGCAGGCATCCCGTACCCCCTTGAAGCCCATACGGGCAGTGGTTGCCAGCAGAAGACCATGAACGTGGTGCTGTCATAGCGGAACAACAGAGTTAATGAGCGATTTTGTGGCAGAGACGAAACGAGTCTTCACGCGTCAGAAACGGCCAACCCTAGTTGCTCGTCTACTAAAGTATAGTTTAGGAGGCGCAGTATCAAGCCTAGCCAACCCCCCTCCTACCATTTTGACACGCAGTAAGCACTGCAAAAAACGAAGCATTACAAGTTGATTAATGTATAGTCAAGCAAACACGGACAGAAATAAGATCGTTTCGTGTTCAGACTATTAGACGTGTAAGGCAGCCACAAACGCGAGGACCAATAAATTGAATAAACGCCATAGAGGGTATTTCCGCAATCCACGTGACCCAGTGGATTTCGATCACATATTGCGCCGAACTTTTTGTGCAAGTCCCGCAACTCCTCTGCTCAACGTCGCAACTCTGGCCCTTCAACATTTCGGCGTACCACTATGGCTCTGAATCTGAAACGAAAAAGGGCGCAGGCTGAGATCTCGACCCGAGGAAAGGTGAGTTTTGAGTGACTTTCAGTGTATCACTTACTGACTGAATGCCAGAGACGACAAATCGAAGCTGAGCCGGAGTCCGGCCTTGATGATGACCATCTTTTGGAGGGGGACGAGGAGGCCGAGGAATTTGGTGGAATAGGAAGCGAGGATGATGATGCAGAGAACGGACGGGAGCTTAGAAATGACGAGGACGAGGACGATGAGGAAGAGGATGAGGAAGACCAGGCGGCAGGCGTGAACGAAGCTGGGGCACCCAGCAGCTCGTCAGAACATAAGAAAGGAGGAAAGCCAGTAAAAATCACAGGCAGCGAACTGAGAAACGCCCAAGAAGCGCGGAATCTGTTCATGTCGAGTAGCTTCAAGCTGCAGGTACGTCCACTCGCGTCTCAGGGCAAGCTTTGGTCTTATTGCAAGGCCTCAGGTCCTTGGGACTCCCACATATTAAATAGTCAATCTAAATCTTTTCAATGCCTATAGATCGACGCACTCCTGCCAAACGTCCGACCAAAATCATCCCGCATACCCCCTCTCGACCGCTTTCTCTTCGCCCTCCACTCCGTGCTCACATCCCTCTCCTCACGAGAAGCGCAACATCCTCTCGAAGCTGCTCACAAATTACAAGACAAGAGTATATCAGTGCCCTACCCTGACCCCCGACCGACGAAGGAGACGAATTGGAAGGTTGGCTTCGAAAAGCCGTACGATGTGAATGTGGTCGGCAGCTGGGCGAACAAGTGTAGCGTGAAAGGTCAGGATGGGACGAAGTTCCGTGTTGACTTGGCTGTGGAGATGCCTGCGGTATGTCGGCTTACTGAGTCTGCCAGGACTGTAATGCTTATGATCCTGTAGGCCCTTTTCCAAGAAAAGGATTACTTGAATGGCAGATTCTTCCACAAAAAAGCCTATTATCTGGCCTGTCTCGCAGACGCTGTAGTGGACAAGCAGAGCGGCCTGAATGCCACTGTAGAGTACCGCTCGGTATCTGGAGACCCTCGGCTGACCACACTCCTCGTGCGCTCGCCACAAGGTATGCCGTCCCCTATCCCTCTTTCTTTCCGGATCCGGCTGAGGCTCGGTATCAGACAAGTCCGAGACAGACTTCACCCCCCTGAACGCCGAAATACAGATTATCCCCACCCTGCCCAACCCCCCGCCCTTCCCTCTCCACCGCCTCTCCCCCACCCAATGCAACCTCCGTCTCTCCTCCGAGTCGCAGACCCCGACGCCCCTCTACAACACCGCCCTCCTCCTGTCCTGCACGCCCAAGGCGCACCTGCTCGCAGTGCACAAGCTCAAGGCGGACGTGCCCGCGTTCGCGGACGCGCTCACGCTGCTGCGCGTGTGGGCGAACCAGCGCGGGTACGGCGAGGGGAGCAGGCTGTGCGTGCGGGGGTTCGAGGGGCGCGGCGCGTGGTGGACGGGCGTGCTGGAGCTATTGGTGAGGGGCGAGGAGGGGGCGGGTGGGAAAGGGGGAGCTGCGGTGGGGAAGAGGAAGCCAGTTGGGAAAGGCTTGAGTTCGTACCAGATGTTCAGGGCTGCGCTCGATTTTCTGGGTGAGTGACTCGCCGGCGTTCGGGTCAGGAGGGGCTGACTGATTTGTGGTAGCCAAGCACGACTTCGAAGATGAAGCGGTTGTTGTGAAGACGAATGGAGGGCATCGAGTGAGTGTCAGCTTCCATGATTATAAGGGGCTGTTTGCTCATCGTAGACCAGTATCCAGCAGACGAATATAAATCATCTCATGATGCCGTATTCGTGGATTCCGTATCCTTGGTCAACCTGTTGGCAGGCGTCCCTTTGTCATCGTTGGACATGGTGGGATACCTCTACGTCTCTGCAAACAAGCATGTGCTCACTAAGTCTTCGGGTGTTCCCAGCTCAAGCATGATGCTCAACTGACGCTAGACATCCTGGGTAACTCCGCTGCCGTGAATGATGCATTCAATGAGACGTTCCTCAAGGATCAGCGCAGCGTTCCCAGCCGGTTCGATGCATTCATCAGGTACGAAGTTCCCTCCTTCCTGCCCGATGTCCTCTGACGTTATGGCAGTGTTGATATCGCTTCTGCCAAGCTCGATAACATCTCCAGCATCACAGTAGCCGACCAAGGCTTAAGGGTGACCGCTATCCTAAACTCTCTAGCATCGGTACTTCGTCGGGGGTTGGGTAACCGCGCGAAAGCTGTCGCCATCTTGCACCCTACCTCGACGCCCCGGTCCGTCTCCGAGAGCCATCCGTCCTCTCCTCACACCGTCTGCATAGGCATAATATACAACACGGAACACGCCTTCAGGCTCGTAGAGCACGGCCCCGCGGTAGACGATCCGGATACTAGCTTTGCTGCGTTCTGGGGCGACAAGGCCGAGCTCCGGCGGTTCAAGGACGGCAGCATCACGCAGAGTGTCGTCTGGGACGTGCAGAATTCGGACGAACGCGCGCGGATACCTGTCAGGATCGTGGAGTACTTGCTGGATCGGCACTTTAGTGTCTCGACGAAGGCGGTGAAGACATGGCAGGCTCGCTTCGACTCGATTTTGCGACTGCCGGAGTCGATTTCGTCTATGATTCAGCAACAGGGCGCCACTGGCGGTTTCAAGAATGCCTTGGCTGCCTTTGACGGGCTGCTGAGGGCCCTAAAGTCGTCGGAAGAATTACCGCTATCCATCCTCAATGTTCACCCAGTCTCGGAGTATCTGCGCTATACAAGCGTCTTCAGCCCTCTTCCCGTACCCCCCGAGCTCTCTTCCGTCTTGCCAAAATGCGCTCGTTACGTACCCGTCTTCGAGGTGATACTGGAATTCGAAAAGTCAGGCCGGTGGCCCGACGACCTGCGCGCGATACAGAAGATCAAGCTCGCGTTCTTCGAGCGCATCGCCGCGGCGCTCATGAACCACGGCGGGTTCCGCCGAGCCGTCGTCGTGCTGGGTGACGGAGTCTGCACGTCTGAAATCCAGGACCAGGCGAGGCTGGAGATCGTGACCGACCAGGGCTGGGTGTTCTCCGCGCGAATATGGCACGACAGGGAGGCGATTTTGCTGGATAGGATTATCAATGACAAGTCTCATATATCAAAGGCAGTGAGGAAGACGGCTGAGGGTCAGTCTAAGGACAGACAGCTGGCGTTGGAGGCCCGCGAGGTTTACCTTCGGCGCTTTATCCATGCGCCCAAGCACCATCGAGCCATTGCTAATATGTCTCACCGGTTCTCAGCTTATGCTGGGACTGCGAGGCTGGTGAAGCGATGGCTGTCGTCGCATTGGCTGCTGCATGGGCATATCAGCGAAGAAGTCGTGGAGATAATTTGCGCGAGCGTCTTCCTCGGCGGTCGGCAATACGGCGACGGGCCTTCGGTGCCAGGTAGCAAAGAACGGGGATTCGCACGAGTGGTCGAGTTCTTGAAGGACTGGAAGATCGAAGAAGGTCTTTTTGTCCCTCTGTACGCCGCCGGTGCTGGTGAACAAGCCAGCCCAGAGGAGGGTGCCAATCATATCGGCGTGCTCGACAAGACTGGTGCCTGGAGTGTAAGGACGGAGGAAGACCCAGAAGGGCGAATGTGGACCTCGCATGGCCCTGATAGCGTGGTGGCTCTGAGAGTCAAGGCTCTTGCCAAGGCTACGTGGAATCTCCTGCAGAGTATGGAGTCTCGGAGATTAGACGTCAAAGTCGGTATTTTCCGCGTTCTCTCAGATTCTACTCCCATGTTTACCCCCTTTAGACTCTGTTCCTACATCCGACGGATGACTACGATTTTCTGGTGAAGCTCGACGCCAGTGTCTTGCCGAGATACCATCAGAATATCTCAGCTGATCCAAAGACCTGGAGCAGGGGCTCTGGGTATGCCAATCTGCAGCCGAGAGACGAGGAACCATCTCGGCCTGGAAGGGATCCAGCCCAGTTACTCTTTGATGACCTTCAGGTTTGTCTCCGGCTTACACCGTGCAGCAGATTGTTCACATTGTTACCTCCGTGTAGAGAGTATATCAGGATTCTTTCAAGGTGTTCTACGACTGCTACGGGGGGAACACCTTCGGTGCAGTCTGGGATCCATCTGTCAAGAAACGGAGACCCTTCAGGGTGATGGGCGGTTTCTCAAGTATTCCTGTCAAGAAGGTCCGTGATCTGTCTACACTCGCATCTCACGAGATACTCATGTCTACATAGGAGGAGAAGTCCAAGGAAAAGGGCACGGTTACCCTGAACGAGTCCGCTATTTTGAGTGAAATCACAAGAATAGGCGCCGGTCTGGTCAATGATGTAGTCGTGCAATCTTCATGATTCCCCTGGGGGCAGCCGCAGCTTTGCCTCAGCTTTGAGGGCGCATACCCTAGCAGCATGATGCAAGACATGCTCAAGACTCTATTAGTGTGGCATAATAGTTATACAACTACGGAAACAGAAGTAGAATGGGGCTACAATATCACGAAGGGGTATAATGCAAGAAATCATTACAGAAACGCTGTCTCCGCTATCACTCGTCTGAACGCTTCAGAACGCGGTTTAATGGAGCATTTGAAAGGGAGAGGGGCGCTGGACTCGATTGTAAGCTTGAAGGGACCAGTGCAGACTGCGATGGGGCGCTCACCAGATGGCGCCTGTTGTGAATTCGGGCTTGACCGGGATGGGTTTGCCATGCTCGTCGAGGCAGGGAGTCATTCTGAAGCAGGCCAGGATAGATGCCACCGACATCCAGAGCATGGCATCTGCCATATGTCGACCAGCGCATATGCTGTATATTTCATGTCAGTCACCGATCAGTCACTATTAATGTCGGGGGCGTCGTACCGTCTTCCGTATCCGAAAGCTGACAGTGGCTCAGGAGTGGAATTGAATCCCTTCCCGTCCTCCGTCAGGTACCGCTCGGGCTTGAACTTCATTGGCTCTGGGTACACTTCCGGGTCGTGTAAAATAGCCCTGGAGAACGAATCAGTCATGATAATACTGACAAAATCCTATTGGAGGCCAGACATGAGTCATACCATGTGTTACCGAACACTGCTGTGCCTGCCGGAATGAAGTAGCCGTTGTAAACGTCGTCTTCCGTCGTCATGTGTGGCATGCCTGTAGACGTTATGTCAGGTATACTCAGCGCCGGACACTTATTCGCTTCCGCTCACCTGAAGGTGTTACGGGATACCATCGCATCACTTCACGCAGGATCGCGTCAATGTAGGGTAGCTGCGGCCTATCGGTGAATTCGGGAAGCCGCGAGCCTATGACTGCGTCTAATTCGCGCTGTGCCTTCTCCTGGATCTCGGGGAACAGAGTCATAGCCAGGATGAAGGAGGTCAGCGATGCTACCATCTGTTGGACAATTAAAATCGTTGTACGGAGGGTGCACCGTGTGAGACTTACACTCTCTGCAGCGGCTGGAAATAACGCGGAGTCCTGTCAGCTCCACATAACAATGGCACTGCCAACAGAATGCACACACCAGCGTATGCCATGCCGGCGCACTGCTTGACCAGAGTCATCTGCTCGTCAATGTCACCCTTTTGATCAATGTTGTTGAGAGCGGATGTGACAAAACACGGCTGCGCGGGTCCGCGAGTCTGGAAACACAAAGGAAACTGAATACCCAGTTGCGCATGTTCGATAGCCTTCACTCACATTGGCGGCTAGAACAGCTTCGAAGGGCGCATCACGCATCTCATAGAGCGTCTTTTTCCACTGCGCTGCTTTTCGCTTGAAGCCCGCACCGGGCATCCACGCGGGGACGTACTTTACTGAAACAAAATCAGCTCTCGGTCGGGAAAGAACACGCAGAGACAACTCACAGATGGGAAGCAGGTCCACCAAGAATGCGCCCGGAGCCGCTGCCTGGCCGAGGGCCATCAAGGCCTCCTCGGCAATTGCTACATAGCGGTCATTCTTCGGCGCGATGTCGATGCCGTAGATGAGCTTCATGATCGTACTTGCGGCGTTACTACCCAGACCTATGTCAGGATAGATTCAAAACCTTATGTGCAACTTACTGCCGCAGATGCTCATCGAGGTCGTCTGGGGAGTCTAGGAGTCGTCGGAGCAACATATGGGTCTGAGTGGCCATTATCGGCCAGTATGCGCGGGTTGAGGAGGGCTTGAATTGGCTCTCAAACATTCTGCGATGCTTCCGCCATGTTTCACCGTAGCGCATCATACCGAAGGTCCAACCCCAGCCCATTCTAGCGTAACATTACAGGTTAGAGCTTTGCTCGTGATCCTGCTGGAGACACTTACAGATCGTTAATCATGTGCAGAGGAGTGCGGTCAGAGTAGTTCTGCCACCGCTTCTCGAATAGGTCGTCTGCGACTTTGGAGGAGTTGATAAAAATCATGTCCCGTCCCAGAACGTTAATATAAACGAGTTCGCCTGTAGAATATTCGCGCTCAGTATATGGTCGTGGCGATAGAAGGGGGGGGGAGGGGGGGATTCTTACCATATTTCTGCGACCATTTGTAGTAAGTCTCGGTAGCGTGCTCAATGTCAAAATCTTTGAGGTTTCCAATGACCGGAAGAGGCTCTGGGCCAGGTGGGTAGGGCAGACCGAGCCGGCGCGCACGCAGTTTACGCCACCGTCTGACCCATGCTAGGGCGATAAGTAAAACACAAGCGAACGTGAAAGATGCTACGGAGACTGCCATGGCAAGGAGAGTGCGACGATTTCCGGGTTACAGAAAACATGCCAAGGCGTTGCCCAAAGCATTTTATATTCCAAGGACACGGTCTGAACATAAGTTTATCGCATCAGGCAGCACCCCGGATCTGAAACCCGCTCCACGCCAACGAGCGTAACGTTATTGTTAGAGAAACGAGCGCGCCATCTTCGTAAATTCAACCTTGGGAGGCTATACCAAAGGTGCAGCGTAGGTTATTGTCCGCAAGCGAAGAAGGATCGGGACGCAATCCGAAACAAGTCATCGGGCAATCTGTCGTGTCATGGTACACGATATCGCCTCGCTATCGCAGCTCATCGTCTTCGAACCAATTCTTGTGACGGCTACTGCCTCTCTTGCACAATGGTGGGCTCGACGACGCTAGTAGCACTTGATTCTGACTTCTCTGCATTCTCATCTCACCGAACACGCTGTCACCTCGAGGAAGTAGGAAGCGTGCTTACGTCAGCGGCTATAGCCCAATTTGTACATGTTGTGGATCCGTGTGTATCTGCCACATTCCCGCTCGTTCGATGTCCGAGCGTAATTTGCAGCGTGGAAGACGACAGTGCTTACATAGACCCTAGCGTATGTGAGTATTGGTTTTATGGATGCTAGCGAACAACGTCCCCGCCTTCCTGTTGCGTAAACCCTGCTACCGGTATTCGAGCAAACTTCAAGCTACGCTCTCTGAGATCATGATTGGTTGCCCATCGCCCCCGCCGTCTGCACGGGATACACTGACAAGCATCATCGTTCTTCCACCCCGGGGACTGTAGTTGTGGCAGACATGCCACACGCCACAAGAACTTGCACTGCTCCTAAAGTTCAGGGGCTTCACATATATTGCCCGCCGTTGACATGTATCAGACCACGGTGATATAACAAAACATATGACCAAAGCAGGCCTACTAAGACCGGTCGTAGAATTCCGAGTGTGATTACCCCGACCGCCACTAGTCGTCGAAGCCGAAGAAGCCGTCGCTATGTACAAAGACAAAAAGGTCTCAGCTTCTCCGAAGACTGAGAGTATAATAGGAAAACCGTCTTCGAGGCTTCTTTCGATGACGCTCGCTGCTATACGATCGTAATCGCGCGTGCACATGGCCACGGGGAAGATGAGATCCACGCTAATATATACGGAGACTCGGAGGGCGATTCAGTCTTCAGATCCCAGGCGCTAGTCAATCTTCAGTCTTCACGGGTACAGTACTCACAAAGCTGCCGACACCTTGTCCGCCCGGACCGGACGTTGTGCCTGTCAACATTTTGATACATCGCGACCATCGGCACATGTCTGCGTGGCCTGGATGACGCGCTGTCTTACCGGAGCCACTACACTCTAGCTAGGACACCCATGTAGATGATCTGCGACATCGCTACCAAGAAGAGGAACGTCACCCGTCTGCTCCGCTGCGACTGCGTCACCGTCCCGACTGTCGCTGGCGCGTTCACGATGTCGGGGAGGACAACGGATCGTAGGGACCGCAGCTGCAGGTATGTCAGGCACGAGTCAAGTTTAAACGAATCGCGTGGGACGTACCATGAATAGAGCGATAGAGCAGAAAGAGTAGATGAACACAATGCTATATAGTGTCCTCCCCGCACCCAGCAGCCCCGCGAGCAGGGTCATGATAACGCTATGTCCAGATCCAGTCAGTACTGAGCCCGCGAATACTAGAATTAGCTGCTGCGCACCCCACGAACTTGTAGCCCCCGTAAGCGACAATATCTGTGACAGGACTCGAGCTCTGGATATTCAAAAAGTAGCACCCGAGCTTCACGAAGAGGAAATCGAGGAACAGGACAAGGATGGCTTTCCACGTGGACACGCCCAGAATACGCGGGTCGAAGCGGGACTGCAGACCCGCAGTGAACGCAGCGAGCAGGACATACGTGACCATCGCCATTACTGCTCGAGGTTGTCAACTAGGCTTGCGAGAATCCGGAAAGACAGAACATACTGGGTATGTACAAGTCAGGGCTGTTCACGTCCTCCCGTGGAGGTTGCCATTCGGTCGTGCCCTGCTCCGATCGCCGCACTTTTCTCGTCCAGGGCCCATGCCGCCACGGAAAGACG